GTCTCGCCGTCGGCCGCCTCGCCGTCGGCCGCCTCGCCGTCGGCCGCCTCGCCGTCAGCTTTCAGCGTTTCCACGTCACGGTTTGTCGTACCTCCGGTGAGTCACGCGCTAGTTAAACGCATCCCTTGTCTGTGCGATGCATTTCCTTGTTGACGTTGCCTTATGTACGTCATTGTACAATTTTGCAGGGCGTTACGTCTTGTTCGTTAGTTGGTTGTAAAGCGCTGTTGTCTGTTGTGGTTTTTTAAGGTTGTGCCGCATGCGACGTGCTTGTGCAGTCTTATTTTGTTTGCATCATAAAGCAGATCATGGCCGGGCAGCAGATCAGCAGCTGATAGGTAAAACAGCAGATCAGCAAACATCTAGGAAAGACAGCAAACTAGACCAGCTTACCGGCTTTTAGCAGCACGTGTGCCGTGGTGTGGTGTGTTGTGCTGCATGACAATGTAACTATTTTGTAAGTGTCAATTTGTAAGATTCTATGATTCATAATTCATATTGCATCCTGAATAAATTAATAATATTTTACTCATGAATATTTCCTTGAAGCATTAGATATAAATGTTTTGTCAAGTAAATGTATTGTTTATTATTGATTGTAATGTATATTAAACTAAATTTGTGTTCAATGTGTTGTCGTTACGTGATGCTCCCGACGTCGGCGTGTCGTCCCCAGCGGGATCATTGTAGGGCGCTTTGTTGGGGCTGTGCCGGGCAACATGAGAATCGTAGCACATCAGGGCGTAACCTTTCGACCCTCTCACGTCGCTGAACGCATCTAATCCCGTTGTGCTCCTTGCTGCTACACAACTTGCTTGCCCACAAGCACCTCGGAGCATGACCTTGCCGTGGCAATCGCTGTCGTTTTCTCGCCGACGGCGAGGTCGCCAGCGACCTCTCGCCGTCGCCGTCGGCGCCTTGCCGTCGGCCGCCTTGCTGTCGGCGTCTCGCCGTCGGCGTCTCGCCGTCGGCGTCTCGCCGTCGGCGTCTCGCCGTCGGCGTCTCGCCGTCGGCGCCTTGCCGTCGGCGTCTTGCCGTCGGCGCCTTGCCGTCGGCGTCTCGAGCGTGTAGGGAGTACGGCATGAAGGTCTTTCCCCGTATGTTCACTGCGTGGATGCCACTTTGTGTCCGTTCGTGATGTAGTGATGTCGTACATACGTTCGGAGCAAAGTTTCTTGCTGTGGGTGTTTCGTGGCGCGGTATTTTCTCCTGTTATGCCGGCAAGCAGCAACAGCAGCAGCGACAGCAAAAGCACAAAGGCAGCAAACTGCAAAGATAAGTTCAGCAAACACAGATAGAAGCTGCAAAGCCGGCCGATGGTTATTGTTGCGGTGTTCAGTGGCTTGTATTTGTGCGCAATTGTATGTATGTATGTTTGTATGTAGGGCACGCGCGTGTGCGTGTGTAAGTGTGTATAGGTGTGTGCAAGAGGGTGTGTGCGTTTGTGCATGCGCGCACGCGTATACGTATGTGTATGTGTGAGGGTGCTACTGTTTTTACTTGTGATGGAGAATTCGAGACTGCCCGCGATCCGCCTGTGTGCTTATTAGTATGTTTCTGCATTTTGTGCGCAGCTGCTCATGTTGTTTTGCCGTGCAAAGTCTGTGCTCGTTGCGTCCCCTGCTAGCTGATTAACAGCGTGTGTGTGTGTGTGTGTGTATTTCCCCGCCCACCTCCCGCCCGATCCCCCCGCCGGTCTGAGCGAGCCTGGGCGAGGACTTCCAACAGGACAACATGTATCGGCGCGACGAGCCGTCGCCACCGCCGTACATCGCCGTACATCGCCGTCATGTGTGAGAATGTAAGTACGAGAGGGGCCTCGTTTCACACGTCCCCATGCCGTCCTGCAACGCTTTGCCATAGCATGTCGGATTTGGGATGCCGGATTTGGATTGCCGACCACCAATCAATCTGCATCATCAACCCTTTGTTGTGGTATGCATGATGGCATGGCATGGTCGAGGGTCGTTTGGTTCCATGTCTTGAGTTTTGTTAATATCTGAATTGGCGAATTCGGCCACTCCGAAACCGTTTCGTAGTGTGTATGCAACCCCGTCATCCCCGCCCGAATCCCCTGATCACTCGCTGCAACAACACCTGCCGGGTCTGGGCCGCCACCGTCATTTTCACCATCAGCATCACCGTCGACGTGGAAGACATGCCATTTTGATCGCCGTCGGCGTCTTGCCGTCGGCGTTTTGACGTCACGGGGTGTCGTACCACCGGTGAGTCTAAGCTATACTTAAATGCATGCCTTGTCTGTGCAGTGCAGTTCCTTGTTAACGTTGCCGTAAGTACGTCATTGTACAATTTTGCAGTGCGTCACGTCTTGTTCGTTAGTTTTTTGTAAAGCACTGTCTGTTGTGGTTTTTTGTTGTTGTGCCGCATGCGACGTCGGCGTCTCGCCATGGACGTCTCGCCGTGGACGTCTCGCCGTGGACGTCTCGCCGTCGGTGTCTTGCCATGGACGTCTCGCCGTGGACGTCTCGCCATGGACGTCTCGCCGTCGGCGTCTCACTGTCGGTGTCTTGCCGTTGGCATCTTTTAGTTCTTGTCGTGCATTTCCCTCCCCGGCCGCCGCTGCGGCTCTTCTCCTCTGGGCTTGCTGCCACCGCGACCTTTTTGCGGTGCATTTCCCTCCCCGGCCGCCGCTGCGGCTCTTCTCCTCTGGGCTTGCTGCCACCGCGACCTTTTTGCGGTGCATTTCCCTCCCCGGCCGCCGCTGCGGCTCTTCTCCTCTGGCTTGCTGCCACCGCGACCTTTTTGTCGTGCATTTCCCTCCCCGGCCGCCGCTGCGGCTCTTCTCCTCTGGGCTTGCTGCCACCGCGACCTTTTTGCGGTGCATTTCCCTCCCCGGCCGCCGCTGCGGCTCTTCTCCTCTGGGCTTGCTGCCACCGCGACCTTTTTGCGGTGCATTTCCCTCCCCGGCCGCCGCTGCGGCTCTTCTCCTCTGGCTTGCTGCCACCGCGACCTTTTTGCGGTGCATTTCCCTCCCTGGCCGCCGCTGCGGCTCTTCTCCTCTGGCTTGCTGCCACCGCGACCTTTTTGCGGTGCATTTCCCTCCCCGGCCGCCGCTGTGGCTCTTCTCCTCTGGCTTGCTGCCACCGCGACCTTTTTGCGGTGCATTTCCCTCCCCGGCCGCCGCTGCGGCTCTTCTCCTCTGGCTTGCTGCCACCGCGACCTTTTTGCGGTGCATTTCCCTCCCTGGCCGCCGCTGCGGCTCTTCTCCTCTGGGCTTGCTGCCACCGCGACCTTTTTGCGGTGCATTTCCCTTCCCGGCCGCCGCTGCGGCGTCTTCTCCTCTGGCTTGCTGCCACCGCGACCTTTTTGCGGTGCATTTCCCTCCCCGGCCGCCGCTGCGGCTCTTCTCCTCTGGCTTGCTGCCACCGCGACCTTTTTGCGGTGCATTTCCCTCCCCGGCCGCCGCTGCGGCTCTTCTCCTCTGGCTTCCTGCCACCGCGACCTTTTTGCGGTGCATTTCCCTCCCCGGCCGCCGCTGTGGCTCTTCTCCTCTGGGCTTGCTGCCACCGCGACCTTTTTGCGGTGCATTTCCCTCCCCGGCCGCCGCTGCGGCTCTTCTCCTCTGGGCTTGCTGCCACCGCGACCTTTTTGCGGTGCATTTCCCTCCCCGGCCGCCGCTGCGGCTCTTCTCCTCTGGCTTGCTGCCACCGCGACCTTTTTGCGGTGCATTTCCCTCCCCGGCCGCCGCTGCGGCTCTTCTCCTCTGGCTTGCTGCCACCGCGACCTTTTTGCGGTGCATTTCCCTCCCCGGCCGCCGCTGCGGCTCTTCTCCTCTGGGCTTGCTGCCACCGCGACCTTTTTGCGGTGCATTTCCCTCCCCGGCCGCCGCTGCGGCTCTTCTCCTCTGGCTTGCTGCCACCGCGACCTTTTTGCGGTGCATTTCCCTCCCCGGCCGCCGCTGCGGCTCTTCTCCTCTGGCTTGCTGCCACCGCGACCTTTTTGCGGTGCATTTCCCTCCCCGGCCGCCGCTGTGGCTCTTCTCCTCTGGGCTTGCTGCCACCGCGACCTTTTTGCGGTGCATTTCCCTCCCCGGCCGCCGCTGCGGCTCTTCTCCTCTGGCTTGCTGCCACCGCGACCTTTTTGCGGTGCATTTCCCTCCCCGGCCGCCGCTGCGGCTCTTCTCCTCTGGCTTCCTGCCACCGCGACCTTTTTGCGGTGCATTTCCCTCCCCGGCCGCCGCTGTGGCTCTTCTCCTCTGGGCTTGCTGCCACCGCGACCTTTTTGCGGTGCATTTCCCTCCCCGGCCGCCGCTGTGGCTCTTCTCCTATGGGCTTGCTGCCACCGCGACCTTTTTGCGGTGCATTTCCTTCCCCGGCCGCCGCTGTGGCTCTTCTCCTCTGGGCTTGCTGCCACCGCGACCTTTTTGCGGTGCATTTCCCTCCCCGGCCGCCGCTGCGGCTCTTCTCCTCTGGCTTCCTGCCACCGCGACCTTTTTGCGGTGCATTTCCCTCCCCGGCCGCCGCTGTGGCTCTTCTCCTCTGGGCTTGCTGCCACCGCGACCTTTTTGCGGTGCATTTCCCTCCCCGGCCGCCGCTGCGGCTCTTCTCCTCTGGCTTGCTGCCACCGCGGCCTTTTTCCTGTACTCTCATCGCTGCAGCACATTGCTGTTCTTGCGGTGCATTTCCCTCCCCTGCCGCCGCTGCGGCTCTTCACCTCTGGGATTGCTGCCACCGCGGCTTTTTCCTTTCCTCTCATCACCCTTCTGCTTTCAAACTACCGTGCACAAAAGAAAGATGAAAAGGGAGACATCCTTGCTCAAACCACGACATTCGTTGCAAACGGAAGGACTAGTTCAAAGCAGGAAAATAAGGGAGTCCAAAGATATGGAGGATCGGGTCGAGAAATATGGTTGTCATGGTGGAAGTTGTCCGTTGGAGATATGTTTGGTTGGAAGAGGTTGGCAGATGTTGATCCAGTTGGTGGACAGTTGGTGGTGACCGGCCGGTTTTATTGTCGTCGCTGGGTTTTGTGGATGGTAGCTAGCGTTATCTAACCAGCCAGCAGCTGCAGCCAGTTATATTGCCTAAATGGGCTACGCTATGCAGCTATCAGCCAGCAGCCAACAACCAGCATCAGCGAGTGTGCGCGTGTCACGGCTGTTGCCGCGCGTGTACAGTCTGTCGTGTTTTCGTTTGTGGTGCCCACAGCCCTGGTTGTGCACAATTGATTTTCATTTGTTTGGGGATTACCTAATTAAGGGGAGGCTACACCTTATTAAATAATAGATGAATAAATAAAGCTGAACCATGATATCTAATTCCGCTTTATTTATTTACTTATTTATTTACTCTGTTTTAAATATCTTATTATAGATTAGTAATGCGCCTCAGCCTAATAAGCTAAGGCGTGCATTAGGGTGTCGGGGTTGTAGAGGTTATGGGTTTTCCCAGGCCTTTGCACCTCCTGTCACCGTATTTTTACTTTTTTCATTATGTAGTCAGCAGCAGCAGCAGCAGCAGCAGCCGGCAGATCAGCAAGCAGCTGCAGCAGTGGCCATGGCCCGGGCCCTTTATCGCCAGGGTTTGCGGCAGCTTCCCTGGTGCCAGGACCCGAATGCAGGGTCGACTGGCTGCCGGGACTCGGGGCGTACGAGTCGTCCGGCCTGCCGGCACCCGCACGCAGGGGCCGGCCGTACTTTTATAACGCCCGTCTCAGGTGGGTGGATGGGTGGGCGGGCGACGTGGGTGTGGGTGTGGTGCGTACTTCGTGATTTGGGTTCAACTAGTGGTCGTGGAAAAAGGCCGCAGGGCCGCAGCGCACGTGTCGCAACGAGGCCTTGTAACTTTTGGGCAAAATAATGACATTTGGTGTTTTAACCCCCTCCCCCCCGTGTATGCTGCCCCCTTACCTATCCCCTCTGGCCGTTTCCCCCTTTATCACGCACCTCCTCTTCAGGTGCGGCTGGGGCATCAACCTGTGCGCCCCAGTGGCACCGAGCGGGCGTTGCTGAAGATGGGCCCGGCTGAGGTGGGTGCGGATGGGCTTGGGTTTTTGGTGCATGGGGTGTGCGTCGTGGGGACCAGCAGCGGTACCCTTGCTTGCAACTGTCACCTAATTATGTGTGTTAGTTGTGTCGTACTGCTAACCATATTTTGACCTCCCGCGCCCTTCCCCCGCCTTGTCCCTTTTCCTTCAGGTGCACTGCTGGGTGCAATTCCTCCGCACCCAGCTGCACCCAGCCGGGCGCCGCCGCTGCTGGCCAGTTGGCTGGCGGCGGCGGCGGCGGCGGCGGCATATAGCCGCAACTATCAACTGCTGTAAAGGCCATCGGCATCATCGGCATCATGATCATCATGATCATCATCATCGTCATCATTATAATCATGGTCATCATCATCAGTTGCCGCCATTCTTGTTGGCTTGATAACTTGTTGGCTGCATGCAGCGCCAACTACGAGCAATGACCGAACGAATGGTGTCGTACAATAAACGCCATACCGGCCGTATAACGGTTAATAATAAAAATATCAATAAGTGGCGAATACAGCAGTTCTGTAAACGATCGAGTGATCAACGTTAATAATGACCAACGGTTTCGGTTGGACGGTCAAATGGAATCAATGCAGCACGAGGACTTGCGCAACTGAACTTCCAGTAATGGGCCCATGCAAAATGATCTGGGAGGTACCTGGGCGGATGCTGTCGGGGCCTGGGGTGGCCGGGCGATGTGCGTTTTGGGGTTTTGCTTAGCACAATGCGATTGGGGGGCATGGCCTGGCATGATGCGATTTGGGGGACATGGCCTGGCATGATGCGGTTTGGGGGGCATCGCCTTGCACAACGCGATTTGGGGTGCATGGCCTGGCATGATGCGGATTTGGGGGGCATGGCCTGGCATGATGCGGTTGGGGGGGCATGGCCTGGCACATTGCGATTTGGGGGGCATGGCCTGGCATGATGCGATTTGGGGGGCATGGCCTGGCACAATGCGATTTGGGGGGCATCGCCTGGCATAACGCGATTTGGGGTGCATGGCCTGGCATGATGCGGTTCGGGGGGCATGGCCTGGCATGATGCGGTTGGGGGGCATGGCCTGGCACAATGCGATTTGGGGGGCATGGCCTGGCATGATGCGATTGGGGGGCATGGCCTGGCACATTGCGATTTGGGGGGCAGGCCTGGCATGATGCGATTTGGGGGGCATGGCCTGGCATGATGCGGTTCGGGGGGCATGGCCTGGCATGATGCGGTTTGGGGTGCATGGCCTGGCATGATGCGGTTTGGGGGGCATGGCCTGGCATGATGCGGTTGGGGGGCATGGCCTGGCACAATGCGATTTGGGGGGCATGGCCTGGCACAATGCGATTTGGGGGGCATGGCCTGGCATGATGCGGTTCGGGGGGCATGGCCTGGCATGATGCGGTTTGGGGGCATGGCCTGGCATGATGCGGTTCGGGGGGCATGGCCTGGCATGATGCGGTTGGGGGGCATGGCCTGGCACAATGCGATTTGGGGGGCATGGCCTGGCATGATGCGATTCGGGGGCATGGCCTGGCATGATGCGGGTTTGGGGGCATGGCCTGGCATGATGCGGTTTGGGGGAAATGGCCTGGCATGGTGCGGTTTGGGGGATGGCCTGGCATGATGCGGTTTGGGGGGCATGGCCTTGCACAATGCGATTGGGGGGCATGGCCTGGCACAATGCGATTTGGGGGGCATCGCCTGGCACAACGCGATTTGGGGTGCATGGCCTGGCATGATGCGGTTCGGGGGATGGCCTGGCATGATGCGGGTTTGGGGGGCATGGCCTTGCACAACGCGATTCGGGGTGCATGGCCTGGCATGGTGCGGTTTGGGGGACATGGCTTGGCATAGTGCGGTTTGGGGGACATGGCCTGGCATGATGCGGGTTGGGGGACATGGCCTGGCACAATTTGGTTTGTGGGCTTGCATGGACGGATGCTCTTGTGGGGATTGTGGCATAATGCCGTTCGGAGGTTGCATGGAAGAGTTCGATTTGGGACGTACGTGAGGCGCCTCAGCACGGTATCGTGCACGGTAAGTCTGGGCCGCAAGCATAGGGGTTTGACTGCTGTTCGCGCTTAAATGCAACCGTTAGTCGTTGGAATCCGCATGTTTAACCGTGTCACCTTTACTTGTGCAGGGTCTCCTCTCCGCAGACATTGTGTTTAAAGCTCTGAAGGACTGCGCGGCCTCAGATCCAACGAGGCTGCGACGTACGTGAGGCGCCTCAGCACGGTATCGTGCACGGTAAGTCTGGGCCGCAAGCATAGGGTTTTGACTGCTGTTCGCGCTTAAATGCAACCGTTAGTCGTTGGAATCCGCATGTTTAACCGTGTCATCTTTACTTGTGCAGGGTCTCCTCTCCGCAGACATTGTGTTTAAAGCTCTGAAGGACTGCGCGGCCTCACATCCAACGAGGCTGCGACGTACGTGAGGCGCCTCAGCACGGTATCGTGCACGGTAAGTCTGGGCCGCAAGCATAGGGTTTTGACTGCTGTTCGCGCTTAAATGCAACCGTTAGTCGTTGGAATCCGCATGTTTAACCGTGTCATCTTTACTTGTGCAGGGTCTCCTCTCCGCAGACATTGTGTTTAAAGCTCTGAAGGACTGCGCGGCCTCAGATCCAACGAGGCTGCGACGTACGTGAGGCGCCTCAGCACGGTATCGTGCACGGTAAGTCTGGGCCGCAAGCATAGGGTTTTGACTGCTGTTCGCGCTTAAATGCAACCGTTAGTCGTTGGAATCCGCATGTTTAACCGTGTCATCTTTACTTGTGCAGGGTCTCCTCTCCGCAGACATTGTGTTTAAAGCTCTGAAGGACTGCGCGGCCTCACATCCAACGAGGCTGCGACGTACGTGAGGCGCCTCAGCACGGTATCGTGCACGGTAAGTCTGGGCCGCAAGCATAGGGTTTTGACTGCTGTTCGCGCTTAAATGCAACCGTTAGTCGTTGGAATCCGCATGTTTAACCGTGTCATCTTTACTTGTGCAGGGTCTCCTCTCCGCAGACATTGTGTTTAAAGCTCTGAAGGACTGCGCGGCCTCACATCCAACGAGGCTGCGACGTACGTGAGGCGCCTCAGCACGGTATCGTGCACGGTAAGTCTGGGCCGCAAGCATAGGGTTTTGACTGCTGTTCGCGCTTAAATGCAACCGTTAGTCGTTGGAATCCGCATGTTTAACCGTGTCATCTTTACTTGTGCAGGGTCTTCACTCCATTTTGTGGAGCCCGCGCCAATAACCAAACTATGTTGGTCAGTGTCACAAGAGGACGCTTCATTATAGCAGGCTTCCCAACTGTTTGCTTTTGCCATATTTTTGGGCTTTGCGTTTCACATGGCGATTGGCGTTGCGAACGATACCCGCTTATTGGTCGGATAGGTCATGATTTAATTGGAGGAGGGGGTAGCTTCGTCTGCAAAGCAATTTGCACACACTGCTCCCTACCGCGCAGGGGGAACTGTCAATTAGCAGCGCCCACATGCGCTTTGCTCCTCAAGCCCTGCACCGGTGTGCGTGTCAGTTATTTTGTTGTGCGCCCCCGTGCGGTTCGTTATCTTATTGTTATGCGGCTTACGTCTACCCCTACGACTTGGCATTCACTTTTGGGGACTTGATGAACAAGCACGCGTGCATTTTTATTGGCCTGGCTTTCTTCGTGGCGCTGGCGTAATCAGTTTATCAGTTTAGGCTTAGGAAAGAGACAGTTTCAAGGTTTGTTCCAATTCCCCCTTGTGGGGTCATCCCTTGACGGTGCCTACGGACGATCAGAGTCAAACTGCCAGCTGTCTTTCGGTCAGAAGACCCAATTTTTTTCGCCATCTGCTCATCACCTGTGGCAAGAGCACAATCCGCTCTCATTACGACCTCATGATTCGTACGTACGTACGGCCGCACAGGATCCAGTAACAGACCCATCAAGCGATACCCATATGCCGCCACAACACCATGCACCGATGCTATGTGGGAGGTTACCTTGCACAATGTGGTCCATGGAGGTTGCATGGACGAATCCTAATTGTGAGGTTTCGTGACGTAATGTGGTTCTTGGTTGGTATGGCCTGTTGCTTTTGAGGGGTTACCTGGCACAATGCGGTTGGGGGGTTTGCATGGACAAATGCTTTTGGGGGTTTTCCTGGCGGCGTTGAAGTCTCCCGCCGCCTAGGCCTCGCCGGTAATTTCTTCGGACTGCAGTGTAAGGGCCCTTGGCAGCTGGTCTCCCCGCTTCCCGTCTCTACCATTCCCAGCACGGTCAGCAAGCACGTCAGAATCGGCAGAGCCACGAGAATACAGTTAAGGGTCGGCGCTTCACTTGGGATTCGTTTGTCTGATGTGCCCCAAATTCAGTTCGACTCTGCACAGCTTTCTGTCTACCAACGTTTTCGTTCGTCCGCCTCCTGCCCGTGCTCGAGAGTATCTGTCGCACTACTTGAATTGCAAGAGCATCGCACCACATTCAACATCAGGTGGTTTTCGTACGTACCACGCTGTTCGATGTTGCTGCCGCGATAGGGAAGCGACGCTCTGCTGGGTTAACTGGTCCTGTCGAGTTCTGGTACGACCCTCCGGTATCTGCTCCTGATGCTGACGTCGCTCCCTCCTTCGCCTTTCTCCGTTTCTAAAGGTTTATCTATGAGGTTTCGAGGTAAAGAGTGCCAGTCCGATGCCTCCATTCTTATCGACACTGGGAACTTCATGACTTCAGCCCTTTTAAGTGCAGTTTTGCTCGTGGGTCACATGGGTTTGGCGATTCAACCGGATCCGGGTTTTTTAATGTGAACTTCGAGAATGCCGAGTGACAAATCCATATGGTCCAGGAGCAGCGCGCGTCCATGTGGACGGTGGTAGGGGCCAGGAGCCTAACTAAGCTTCTGCTGTACTGTGAGCTGTCACAGAGGCCACTACAATTATGTTTTGGAAAGTCGGGCACCCAGTGTTACAGAGCTTTTGTCGCTGACCTGCCTGGCACTTGGCCGCACAATGTTGGGCCAGCAAGGCCAGTCACAACCTTTCTTACCAGCTTGGTTGTAAGCCCCCCGGCTGATTTGCGTGGGGATGATCTGTTGGTACATTATGCCCTGCCCTCAACCTGCCCCAGGGAAGGGGAAGCATCCTGAGGGATTTTGTGAAGAGGAATGTTCAAGCAGCTATGTCTACAGTAATTTACGGAAAAGCTTTTCACGGAGCTCACATCGATACAACTCAGGCATCAGGTTCTCATATCGCGGCTCAATGTTAAAAACACACACGCACACACACACACACACACACACGCAGTTGCCCACAGCGCAGCGCACTTCTATCCGGGCTCTGGATACCATCTACGCATCTTGTTGGAGAATCCTCCACGGTTTATTTACTGGAAAAGGCACTAGTATACGTCGCTCGACTACGGAGCTCGCATTCGTGCACCAACACATGTTGGCCCGCTCCCGTGTCGCGGTTAGCAGTCGAAACGCGGCCGCTGCTACATGGCCGGCATCAACGAGATCGTGCATCCACATGCAGAACCACATGGGGTTCAAACCCTAAGGCATGTTCGGGGAACACATCGGCATGGCATCATCATCATTGCCTCGCGTTTCCCCCGGGTCTTTTAGCCATAGTAGTCGAAACGCTGCCGTTGTCGAAACAAATCGTACCCACATGATGATGAAAAGCGCAAACCAAACAGCCGAGAGAGGTGCATGCGAGCGGTGCACCCGGCCCCCTCCCTCGACCGCTCCCTGGCCCCGCAAGGGTAGCGGACTCGGCGCCTCGTTATCACCTTACCGGCCCTTCACAGCTTCCCTCCTTCCCGCCTCCTCCTCTTTGCTCGCAAACCTTATTACTGCGAGACACCTATAACGACGATTAGTGCTACATTTATAAACAGCTGCTATTGCGCATGGCTGTTATTTATTCTCGCTGCTTCCGAAACGCCGACCGATACAATGGGTTAGTTATAAAAGAAGGTGCATATATAATAGCGGCCGAGACTAAGCCAAGGAAGGGCTTCTAGTTGAATCTCGTTGACTTCAAAATTCCCCACACCACACCAGGAGCCGCGATGATGAAGACCTGACTCGTGAGGCCGCACACCTGTGTCCTTGCTTGCTTGCATCAGCGACCCAGCTTCCACGGATGGGGATGGCCCCGTCGTGAGTCGAGTAAGTGCGTGCCGCCCACGGCCTACACATACACCACGCGGGCCCGGCAGCAGAAGTGCCGGGCCAAGAAGGCCTAGTCGAGTCCTCCGCCCAAGACCGGTGTTTATCAACACAACCATTGCAGTAGCGCAGCTCAGCAGCTCAGCACCTCCCACACGCCTTTTGATAACCAATCACTCATCATAGCGGAGGCGCGGAGGGCGGCGTCATCTTTCTTTTTGCCTCTCGATCCCCCTCTCCATGCCCCTGCTGTCACAGCCCCGCAGTTCCTTCTCGCCTTCGCAACCTACCAACCAAGTAAAGTCCCTTTTAGTCCATATGCCCCCGCCTAGCCGAAGAGAAGACATTGACGATAAACAAATTCACCTTCCTCCCCTGCGCGCACTCCCCCTACCCCCTCGCTGCCCACACTTTCCTTCGATCCCCTGGCCTGGGGATCGAAGGAAAGTGTGGGGACGATGGCGCCGCGGACGGCTTTTGGCACGTTACGTCACCCAGCGGCAGGCTTCATCGCCCCAGCCTCGTTGGCAGGCAGCTACTGATGTGCGGGCCAGAGGCCCCGCGGTGCCGGCGGCAAAGAGCGGCCGCGGCCTGCGGGAGGTCCAGGACGCCGTGCGGCATCCGCTTGCGGCACGCCTGCTCCGACCACAGCCTAGCGCGGACCACAGCCTAGCGCGGACCACAGCCTAGCGCGGACCACAGCCTAGCGCGGACCACAGCCTAGCGCGGACCACAGCCTAGCGCGGACCACAGCCTAGCGCGGACCACAGCCTAGCGCGGACCACAGCCTAGCGCGGACCACAGCCTAGCGCGGACCACAGCCTAGCGCGGACCACAGCCTAGCGCGGACCACAGCCTAGCGCGGACCACAGCCTAGCGCGGACCACAGCCTAGCGCGGACCACAGCCTAGCGCGGCGAGGGCAACCCTGCCCAGCAGCAGCCGCGTGCAGGGCCGCAGCGGCCCGCGCACAGCGCGCGACCCCGCGCACGGAAGCTGCACTTCGCAGGCGCCACGCTCAGAGCGGCGCGCTTGCGGAAAACCAGGGGTGGCACAGCGCTTCTACTGCAGAAGGGCGTGAGGCCGCCGCGCTCGCCGTCAGCTGCGCCTTGAGCTCCACGCACTGCGCGCCCAGTGAGAGGATATCGCAATTCTCTATCAGCCGCCCAACAAGCTGCACGTCCGACGCGGTTGTGTACATGCCGCGCTCGTCCAGGGTGTCGTCCGTCCAGCAGGCGGCGTGGAAGCTGCCCTCGCCAGCCGTCTGCGCCGGCGGCCGCGCCACGGACTCCAGGTCCGACAGCATCCACGAGCCCTGGTAGTTGAGGGTGAACAAAGCACTCTGACTGACGTCTCACACCGCACTGAGCTTTTTGCTCGCGTGGACGTGCACGCGGGCCCCCGGGGCGGCATGATGTGCCGCACACGCACTCGGCATTAATCTACGCCCAGCCAGCCAGCAGCTGCGTCCCCAAAGCACGTGCACGTGCGTGCCTCGCGAGAAGGTCCCAAGCGCCTGCCTGATGCGCGCTGCCTGCTCAGCAGACAGACCTACCTGGCCTATCCACAGCACGTTCTCCCTGCAATGCAAGATGCAATGCCACGTAGTCAGATGGGGCGTAATGCAACATCATGCGGTGCAGGGCCAGCTAGGGGGTCTGTCTATCAGACCGATTCGACTGGTTGAAATCTATCGACCCACCAGCGGATGTCGCGGTGCACGTAGCCGGCCTCGTGTAGCGCAGCGACGCCGCGCAGCACGTCCTGGATCGCCCGCCGCAGCTCGCCCTCGTTCGCGGGGCGCCGGTGACTACCCAGGGGCGCCAGGGTCACCTTGTACGTGCCCTTGCGCTCGCTGAGGGTCGGCCCTTCAGTGGCGTGGATGAGGCCTGCAGCGCGGCGGGTCGCGCTGGGAGGGACACCGAAGTGGACCACCGTGGGGAGGTGAGCCTCAGCCAAGATATGACGGCGCGGGCCCGCAGACATGGAGGACTGACGGCGCGGGCCCGCAGACATGGAGGACTGTTACAACAACTAAGTGCTACGTGCGCGGAGGTGCTTGCCCCTGTGAGCCCGCAGGTTGGTCATGGTCATTGCTGCAAGGGTCTGGGAGCTGCACCTACCCATACACGTTGGCCAGGTCGTCGTACTCGACACCCTTGTTGTTGCTGGCGAAGTTTTCGATTCTCTTGACGACCCTGAAGACGGTAAGGATTATAAATGATCATCTTTGAATGCATCACAGTGCGGGGTGCTTACGCGTGATGTGGGTGTGGCTGCTGCGCCTACCGGTCCGTGAGGATCGTGATCGTGGTACCGTGCGAGCGCTCGAGCACAGCCCCAACGGTCACGGGGTACGGCGGCAGCAGCGGCCGCAAGCACCAGCACAGCAGGCGGAAGAGGTTGGCCACGTGGTGCGCCACCTCGACACGATCGGCGACCTGAGTGAGCAAGCGACGGGGCATCAAACAAGCGAGTGATCACCAGAGGACACCGGGTTGCTAAAAGCAGGCGAGCCCACAGGAACGCACCACAGAACGCACCACAGGAACGCACCACGGAAAGATCGAATCGCTTGCTGATGCTGACAGGCTGCTGAGGCTGGCTCTTGAGCAGGGCGTAGAACTGCGTGGACCATAATCGAAATAGATTATAGACTGCGGTGAGTACTGAGGCACAGCACTTGCAGGCACTGCACTCACTCTAATAAGTACTCACTTGGAGCTGGGATCCCGCAGTCGCATAGCACGGCAGATACGGCAGGTTGCCGAAAGCAATTGGCGACCACACATGCCCTGTTGAGTATCACAGCGCATAGACCTCAACTCGAAAAGAAGTGACCAAAGTCAACAATGAATGAATATGAATCAGCTCACCCATTTTGTAGCCAAGCTTATCCACAGCGAGTCTCAAGTCGCGGCTTATCGCCATGACCTCCCCCTGCGCACCAGGCACACAATGTCCATAGAGTAGGCACGCAAAGTCCATCATGTAGGTGCCTCACAGCTGTCTTCAACCCAGGTAGGTGCCAGCTCACCTTGAACACGAGCGTGTCGTCCACCCAGAGGCAAAAATCTGGGCGCAGGAGTCCGCACGTTACTCCCGAACTGTCCGACGTGTCATGATCCAGGCGGTGAGGCAGCAGCCCTGCAAACGAGCGTTCATGGCCAGGAAGGGCTCAAGGCAGGGGTGTCGGCTCGCGGCAAGAGGATGGCATGCGTGCCGCACCTGTCAGGTCCTGTAGTTCCGCAAATAGGGCGTCGATGAGCCGACCCAAATTCACAGCGAGCGAAATCTCCGATTCGCTAGGAGGCCCGGGCCTGAGCGCCGTGAATACCGTGGCCGACAAGGTGAACGCCCCAGGGGTCGCCTCCACCAGGTGCAGCACGCGGTGGCAGCCCACATCGTAGCGCAGCCGGTCGTAAGTGACCGGATCCAGCGGCAGCGGCCTGCCCAGCGGCTGCTCCAGCCAGCGCCGAAGTTCGGCAGCAGTTGCGGGCGGCGGTGTCTCGGGGTCGCCCGCAAGCATCGCCAGTGCCACCTCAGCGCTTCGGTCTGCATTCGTTTATTGACGATGGACATGCAAGACTGGCCGGCACACATAGGCAAGCGCAGGTCCGAATGCGGCAGGGCCCAGAGCCCGCGGGTTAGCAAGTATGGGCGCACCGAAATTTATTGACGCACCGTCGAGAACTCCTCCAGGTGCAACCGCTGTGCCTGCAAGGGCGGCGGGGATGCCACAAGCACGATGGCCGCATTCTGCTGCCGGTTCCCAGCGCTACAGCCAACCCCCACCCTCGTGGAAATACAGCAGAGTTAGGCACAACAGGTCCCCCTGAGACTGCAGCGTCTTGGTCGCGGGCGCGTACAACTACCCTGATACGCATTCGGATAGCTATTATCGGTCGGTCGGTCGCCATCGGGACAGCCACGGTGCAGCCACAGCTAGTCCCCAACTGCCCGCACGCGCTGCGCTCCATTCTGCTGCCTGGTCTCAACCAACCGCATGCCAATCCCCACCCAGCAGCCTCGAGGAAAGATGCTCACCAGCAGCAGCCGTCAGCGACCCTGCAGGGAAAGGCAAGCACAACGGATCCCGGTGAGACTGCAGCTTCAAGGTCGCGGGCAAACAACTACCCTGATACGCATTATAGCACACCCATACCAAGTGAGCCTCAACAGTTCACGCGGAAAGTCACTCACCGGCAGCCGCAGACTCCGCGCGGCCTGGAGGGGGAAGCAAAACAGGACAAACATCCTCAGAGAGTACTTGAGCTCGGACAAACCCAAACAACCCCAACCCGCTGTGAGGACTCAGCGGTCAGCAGCCGGGCAGTCGGTGCAACGTGAACGCCGATGTGAACGCACAGCCAGCCTACTCCGCTCCCCGCTCCGGGCTTGCGCTCAGGTTCCCCAGCAAGCTCTTCGGAACCAAGCCTCCCGCATACCGCAACGCGCAACAAGAATCCCAAGCACACTTTCAGGATATTCATCGGTTGGTCGGTCAATCGGACGCCAGGGCACATCCTTCCGCGTGATCATCCGACTGGATTATGCCTGCGACCTACCTTTAAGTATAAGGGCATCCACTAGCTTCAGCTGTTTGGCTGCTGTGCCACCGCGAAGTTGCACACGTTCAAGAGGTGTAGCCTTGCTAAAAGCTTCTGCAGCGGCCAGCTGCCAAGCCTCATCCTTGTCGAAAGCTTCCGAAAGACTGAGTACCAGCTGGGCATCCTGGGCGTCCTGATTCATTTCTCCGCGTTCAATCTCAGTCCGTCCTGATTAATTGCTCCGCGTTCAGTCCTAATCCCTCTCCATGAGCGTTGGCTGCCTCGTTAGTATGTGCCAGGGCAGACCTGCCCTGGTATGTGCTGCAGCTAGCTTTTGCAAAGGAGTAAAAAATGATGAATAGAGTAAATTGAGTTGAATGACTTGAACGGTCCGTCTCGGCGCAAATTATTTGGCAATGGCATTGGATGTTGGCATGGGCGCTGCGGATGGGGAAAATTGAAATACTGGTTCTCTTCATATAAGCGTGCTGCATATAGTATGAATAATTTGCTTTCAATGTCGCAAGCGGTGTATCGGTGTCATAGCCATTTGGGCCCATGTGCCCTCGCACCCCTTCTCACGCCTTGGGCAAATGTACTGCTTAAATTTGTGCTCTTGTACCAAACTTGGCCACTTGTCGGTGCTCGCTTGTGTGCCGGCGACGCCGCCCTTGTCCTCCTTCGGCGCGCGCAGGCCGCATCCGCGCCCAACTCAGACTGAGCCGCGCTGCGTCATCTATACCGATTGGAGGAGCCCAGCGGCGGACAACATCTGCTGCTGATATGTCGCGGTCGGGGAAGCTGGGGCTCCTGGACGGGTGGCGCCAGTTTTGCTGGCGCCAGGCACGTGGCATCCGTGCCTTCCCCTCGCGGTTACCGTATTAGGCGTGCTAATGAGCTGCGGGATATATAAGCTGGTGGTGAATGCCAGTAAGTGCTTGCGGTCTGTGAACGGCTAGGCTTGGACTGGGTTTGTGCCCTATGGTAGGTGTGCGACCGTTGGACTTTACGGCGGTGCCGGTGGCCTGCCCAACCATTCAACGCCTGGAGTTTATCAATTCCTTGATGACCGCCTAGCTTGGGCATGGTGTAGGTTGCCGCGGCCTTCGCAACTGGATAGTGGGCCAACTGGGTACTGGGCCGCCAAGCATGCACAGCGGCCGGGCGTACAGGCGGCGGTCGTGTTGGCTTGCCCCTTCCCCCTAGGGAAAGGGGCGGAGCCGTTAATGTTGCATCGAGTTCCAGGAGGGCCCTTGTCGGTTGCCAACCTCCAGAGCCCGCCAGAGCTCTCGCCATCCAGAGCCTGCCAGAGCCCGCCAGAGGCCTGTGCAGATCCCTCCAGAGGCTGAGCGGCTCTGAAACAGCCTGTGTCACAAACGCCAGACCACCCTAAAAGCCGTGAAGCGCTGGGAAAAAGCGTGCAACTGAAGTCAACTTTGGTGTTGGACCCGTACAACAGCACAGCGGCAGCAGGGGGGTTAGAATCTTCTGAAACAGACACCATGCCTCAAATAGAAAGATGTTGTGAAGACGTCCTCGCTGATTTGGACCTTCATGCGGATGGGGCGGCAGGGCGGGGTCGGATGCCGGGGCAGCTGCTGTCGGGGCGGCTGGCGTGGCGCACGAAACACACACGCTGCGGCCAATGCAGGGGCTGCTGCTTAGGCTGAAGTCCGCACTCGCTCCCTGAAAATGGTACAGGGCAATATGCGCGACCTGTACTTGACCCGCAAACTCACTGACACTTGCACGCAGCCTCGGACCGAACCTTGGTCGCTCCAAACGTCGGTGCGATATGCTTGAAGCGCTTGGCGTGCAGAGTTAGTTTTGAGCTCTTGGATAGATACCACCAGGAGATCACTCAGATGCTGAATACACAGAAAACCAGGGCTCGGGCGGTCTGTCGGAATAACGGCCAGAACCGATGGTGGACGACGGTCAGCAAACCTGCGGGTTAGCTGCCTAGGCAAGCCAAGATCAAAGCAATCAATGCAGTGATGGGAAGTCTGAGAGGGCTCGCTCGGGCGCTGGTAGGAAAGCGCCCTCACTCGCAACTGCCACACCGCCGGGCGAATGTCGGTACACACCGGTAGTCGCGGCGCACTTCCGACTCGGAGGCCTAGATGCGGTGCGGACAGACATAGTCCCTGCTGTATTGTACCGTGTGCAGCTCAGGCTCGCTGACGGCAAGGGACCAAATGGCAGACCAGAAGAGTTACAACCCTGCGCGGGGCGCGGGCACGCAGGGCTCACCCAGTGTGTGATTGTCGGCGCGTTAGCAGCGCGCGATGGACGCAGGTCCTCGACGGCGAAGCGGTCGGACGCGGAAGCTCCTGCTTGCCTCAGTTAGGCAAGGGGACGCAGCATCACGACACAACCTAAGTTGGGTTGGTGCCGGGAGGCAGAACAGAGTGCAATGGTTTGCCCCTAGGTTCTTGGTAAAACTCCTTCTTTAGGTTAGTGCGGAGCCGGTACTTATACTCCCGGCTAGCGGTTAGTACGGTGAGCGTTATAGCTCCCACTTGAACGGGCAGATCTCCGGAGGTGTTGGTTGAATCTCCGGCACGCTGCCAGACAGTCTGCAGTTAGCGGGCCGTACAACCTCCTTGGCCACAATGAAACAGTTATGAGCATTCGTGGGTTGCTTAAATGCATAGGGTCACATACGTTGCATCATATGGAACGTGTATGAGGGGGGTGGCTGGAGTTTGCGGGGGCGGAAGTTACTGATTTTACGGGTGCGGAGTCCAGCAGAGTGCCATGGAATGCAGGTACTGCGCACATGCAGGCACTTACGAACCAACGTGTCGGGCACAAACGACATTGCCGGTTGCCTGTTTCTTTCCAAAGACTGCACCGAAGAATGAAGGCAGGCCACCTCCACATCTATCAAATAATGCAGATAATAATGAGACGCCAATGTACGCTCTGCACGTACAGCAGGGCTGCATGCAATGTCATGCGGCTGCCACGAACCATGCCCTCATTGCTGCAGCTTCCCCTCCGGCCCACACAGAGTTGTGGGACACGCCGCCCGGGCTTCTCCACTCCACGCCATGTTCCGGCTCAGGGGCTAGAGCGTTCGTGCATCATCATGCACCAGGGACCCCTAGCCCCGCGAAGTTGTGCAGCCTCCTCCACAAAACCCGGTCACCGCCTCGGCCTTGGCGATCTCTAGTGGCTGCTGCGCTCCGTCTGCTGCGTCTTGTGGCCCTGCTGCATCTCTAGTGGCTAGAGCGTTCATGCATCATGCAAACATAACCTGCTGCCCCTCAAAGATGGGCAGCCGTGGTTACATGAACACCGTTTTTAGTTGCGTTTATGTCCGGTATGTTTGTTACAGCTGTGGCTCTCCCTCTGACCCGGGCCCGACACACGGCCGCCGCAGCAGCCTACCAGTCTCTCTTGGACTGGCGAGAGCGCCCTTGCACCGGCACTCGAAACCAAAGCCCTCGACAGTCAGGTCCCATAAAGCCTGGACTAGCCGCGATCGCGTGACGCCGCCGCGCTCTTCATGAGCAGCCGGACAGACGGTAAGGAAACAGCCCGCTACGTGCATAAATTAGACGACACACGCAGTAAACGAACATAAGACACAAGACTCTCAGCAGCCTCTAACTGTAGACACATAGTCCAGACCCCTTGCTGCATCTTTAACCTGCCTCACGTTGACGAAGACAAAGCCGGCGAGTACGCAAAAAGCCACCGCACTAAGCCCTACCAACTGGAGCTTAACCGCTGAGCACCAAAGAGCTACCGCGCGAGAACCAGACATACGCCCGCACTCAGGGCCTGGGCCAAAGTCTCACTCTCTCCCTCTCGCACACAAAAACATACACATACCTGGCACACTGCCGCTATGTTTCAGCGGACGCGGGTCTGCGTACAGGCGGGTCCTCTAACCCGCACTCCTCTTTCCTCCTGTCTACCGATTACTGAACCCTGACCCGCCCCCCTGCACCGCCAGCAGGGGGTGTGCCGGCCCCACCTCGCGCTATCCCTTCCTAGGGACCCCTAGCCCCGCGAAGTCGTGCAGCCTCCTCCACAAAACCCGGTCACCGCCTCGGCCTTGGCGATCTCTAGTGGCTGCTGCGCTCCGTCCGCTGCGCCTTGTGGCCCTGCTGCATTGGTCACAGCCCTCAACCGCGTCCGGGCACGCTCCATGGCCGGGAGGGCTGCGAGCACAACCACGTCCCACACCCAGCCCTCCTCAGGACCCCTCCTCATCCATTCACCCGAACACCCGAAGAGACGGAGGGTTCGGCAATCGCCACCAATCCTGCGTGCGAATCAGGTCCATCAACTGCGACCTCAACTCCACATCTCAGCAGGTAGCCATAATCTCGTGCTCCCGACAAATTCGGGGGTCTCCCCAGGACTCGAACCCAGGACCTTAAACCGCGAATCGCAGTAGTGTCAACCCAGACCAGATACCATATGCATGGCGTCTCTTGTGTGCGCGTACGCGTTCAGGTTCCGGCATGGCCGAGACCGGGCATATCCCTCTCTCATTTGCGCGGGGCCCAACCATGTCGGGTGCCGGTGGCCGCGGTGTGGTGGTCTATTCCTGCAAGAAGCATCGGCTTACTTCAGCACCGTGTGTATATGCTTACCAGCTGGCTTTCGATTGGACAGGCTGAGTCCTCCCGAACTTGCCACTTGCCTGAGTTTCGCAGCGCCCGCATGGGCAAAATCTACTACATGCTAAGTTGAATCCTTGACTCGCGTACTTGTCAACCTGCACTGCGCGGTGTCCATAAATAGCGCCCTTTATCTAGTCCTCAGGTTTGTACTTCAGGTCGCTTTGTGGCCGTACGTGCGAATGCATGGCCCTAAATGCTTAGGTTTACGCACGCCTCTAGTAGCCATACATTTGCAATGGCTGTCGCGTGCTTCTGGCCGATTTTAGCTGGGTGGCGTCCGTTTTCCTTTTTCCGCGCAAGAAAATCTACGTAAATTGCGTTTTACATACGGAGAGGCCGTTATACCGTTTCCCTCCTGCGCCATATCGAAACTCCTGTCATGTATTCCCTTCGGACGAGAGCGGTTGATGCGACCTCATATCGCATAACAGGTAGGAGCGGTTACACACTCGTTTGCTGGCATCTGCGGTGCACGGCGGTGATTCCGGCGAACGAGGGCGGGGCGCCCCCCCAATAAACCCCATGGTCCTGACCGGGCTCTCTGCGCGGCCCGACCCCGAGGCGGCTTTATAGTGTTGTTGTCGGAGCTTGAACGAATCCGTCTTTTTGTTAGGCTTCTCCTAACAAAAAGGCTTCTCCTTGCATGATGATTTCACTCGTGCTCGTCACGAGCGATAGCCGATAGCTATAGCGAACGACCAAAAGACTGGTCACCATAGAATCCTCGATGCGTGCGAGCGCGCGTGCGTCAGCAAACTACTAATGACCTGCATGGCTACATGCATGCCGGCATTCGTGCGTGGCAGGTACGCAGCAGAGCAGGGCGCGCGCGTTTTACATTTCTCCTGCGCGTATGTACGTGTGCATGTACGGTTTACTATCATAGTACATGTGCATGTACGTGTGCATGTACGGTTTACTATCATAGTACATACGAGCGACTTCTCTGGCTGCTTCGGCATGCAAGCTTGATGTGGAGGAGCTGGCAGGTGGAAACTCTGGCGGATGGAAACGTCTCCATGACGAAGTACCCCTTCTTCAACCCCTTTAGGGGAACCCCTTTAGGGGAACCTCTGGGGTAATGACAGGCTGGCTGTGGGTCCAGGAGCCTTTATAACGAATGGCTGCTCGACCGTTTGGGATATATTTTTTCCACATTGATCTGATTCTGGATTTGGTCGATTACGTTCCAAGTTCCTGCCAATGGCCAGCGACGCTCGCTCCGGATCCAAGCCTTTCATATAGAAATGCTATCCACCACAATGTAACAAATAGATAAGTGAAGATAGTGCCAAAATGTTGCTCTTTATTACATGGATAACGTGACAGGGCCTGTTACACTGGCCTGTGGATGTCTTTGCACAAAAAGCACAAAGTTAGCATCTTGGAACTGTCAGCATGATTCGCGCTCGGGAAGTCTTATATAATAGGTGACGAACGCCGTGGCTTGTGCTTAAGACGCTATAAAGATGAAGCTTTCCGCTGGTAGTACATCAAGACCTTGCCTTGTGCGAGCCTCAAAGGCGAGGCGGACGGCCCTGAGGAGCCAGGCGGTCAATTACAAAGCATCACTACAAAACCACCGTCGGCGCATTTTGCTAAACCGGGCATCGACATGTTCAGCCCCTCTGGCGCCATCGGACGTGTTCGTGCTGGACTTCGACGGCGTCGTGGTCGATTCGGAGCCTGAGGCAAGTCCAACAGAATATTCATTGCTCCGTGAAGCAATCCATGCTCCTTTTCTCTTCATTTGTTACGTGCGCGCGACGGACGCTGATGGACGCCTGTTCACATCCAATCACCACCAGCGCACGCGTTTCTTGCCTTGGGCCACAGATCACCGCGTCCGCATTCGAGGCGGCCGCACTCCGTTGGCCACACCTCTTCAGCAGCTCCGATCTCGACGTGGACGGCAAGCGAGAGCAGCTGCGGCAAGCCATGCGGCTCGTCAGGCCGGTGCTGGTGCGTGGCTTCGAAAGCATGGTAATGCTAAGGTACGCCGCACCGCTTACCACCTCTCCCCCAGACCTCCCCTTAAAAACCCAAATCAGCTGTTGAGCCCTACATCCGTCCCTCCCACCCCACACGCTTAGGACTCCCTCACTAAGGGCAGTTTCGGACTATCGGGAGTTTGGACGCCTTCCGGCAGGCAGTTCATTCCCCTGATTTCCTCCTGACATAAAACGATTCCCCCTCCCTGCCCTCCACACACAGGCTGCTCCACCGCAACCCCTCATGTCCCGCCACCCAGTCCGCCATCTTGCACAACTGGACGGAGGAGCTACCCAGGGCTCTTGGCTGCTGGGGGGAGTCACCTGAGGAGCTGAACCAGGTACAGTCCTGACAGGAGACGAGGAGGTCCGGGTGGTGGGAACTTTGGCTCGGATTCCTGGTTGCTTTACGGCATAGAAACTTGGTAACTTGGCCCCCAGTAACAACAACAACAATAACAACAACAACTGTCGGGGCCCAGTTCGTTAATATTACGAGTTCTGTCGTGTCCCAGGTCTGTGGAAAGACTGCAAACCTGGCCAGAGCGGTAACCTTAGGTACCTTGGCGGCTGCCACGTTGGCGGCTGCCACGTTTAGCGTCACCCGCAGCTCCCACGCACATACTCTTTCTTCTCTTTCCTTACAGAGTGGGAGGCTTCTGGGCCACTTGAACACATTGTCATTAAGCAGCCCCTCGCACAATTGTGTCCGGTCGTACTGTCCCGAATAAACGGTCCGTACAAGACGCCCCAAAAGCCAGGAGTGAATTTTACCGCGCGGATGCGCGCGTGCGATTCTCAAAATGCGCGTGTACAAGTGTATGTCAATTTTTGGGACCAGTGGCCGGCCGTGACACTTAGGCACTCAACCACCGAACGCGCCAACGCCCGGGGCTGAAAGCCAAAGAGTCCCCAAAACTGGGTGGAGAGGGCGGGAATGACAGTATGAACCTAAGGTCACGATACGGTGAATAGCCGGAACAGAACGAAGTTCAGTGTAATATCCATACTGAAGCCAGTACGACAAGTACAACGAGTAACATCTTCGTCCAAGAACCCGCCTTCTTGCAACGAGAAGTCTACACTTCTTGTCCTCATTGTTACACTGTGTTAACACTAAACGGACCACAGCAGCGATGCCACCGGGTCTGGCCCCAACCGACGCTGCCACCGTGCTGCCTATCTACCACCGTAGTTGCATCGACCACCACTCCGAACCGCGGCTTGTACCTCGATTACACTGCTCCGCTGATCCGCTGATCAGCTTAGTATCCCCTCAGTTTCCCTGCTGATCGGCTTAACCCCCTGCGGCCCCCCCACTAATGACCGATTATTTCAAGTTGGACCAGTGGCCGGCCGTGACACTTAGGCACTCAACCACCGGACTCTTGAAAGCAACCGACTGTCTAGGTGCTACGGGGAATGTACCCTAGCGGGATGCGTGCCGTCACTGCTCGCCGCCGCGCCCCGTCCTCACGGACATATGCAAACTCGAAAACGGTGTTACTTTTCCACCGCCCCAGCTTTTGCACTTCTGCCCAGTCAGCACCGCCTTGCACGAGGGCCGTGGCGCCCCCACGGTGTAGGGAGTGCGGGCACAAGTCTGCGGGTGTTGCGTCAGTATGCTGCCGTTCAGCATCTCCCACACTAGGGTCTTGATGTCCTCCCCTGCCGGTAGTTAGCGATGAATTGGGACCGGAACCGTGTACGGACAGTCGCGCGAAAAATCCACGTTAAGAGCTAGCACACCCCAGTTCGTGAGATGACCCTCACCTTGGCGATCTAGAACAAATCCGGGCGCCTCGGCAGCACCCAACATCCCCATACAAATGATCGAAAAACAAACTCGTTTTCGATGAGTGCTGGCCACCAAATGGCCCCCGGCCAAAAAGGTGCAATTAGTGTCATGGAGGTGCGACATAGCGCTGCGTATGCCAAGACCCGGCTCATCACTGCGAAAGGTGGGTTACACCATGCTCTCTGAGGCCACGGCAACGAAAACGCATTAACACCCGAAGTACCCGGAGTGTGAAAAAACGTATAGTATGGTTGAAGCTGGTAATTGTGATCAGATGCAAACAGGTCAACCGAGAAAGGTCCCCACTCTTGATTGATGGAATCAAACACCTCTGGATGCAACTTCCAGTCACACGCATCGTCCCTTTTGGACAGATCGTCCGCCAGGCCATTTTGCTCTCTCGGAATCCACGTGGTGACGAGGTTGATGTTATGCTCGATGCAATACCAAAACACCTGGAAGCACATTGACTGGATAGCGTCAGACATGGAGCCTCCCTTATGCAGTGCATTATCTGCGACCTGGCTGTCGGTATGGAGCAAAACCCGTTGATTCACTAATCGGTCATCCTTATTAATGCTTTTCAGCACGTTTAACACGGCATTCAGCTCGAGATAACCGGACGATAAGCCCCGAGTGTCTATTAACCAAGGGCCTGCCCCTTTCGGTTGTGACGGTAAGTCCGCCCAACCGCCCCAACCGCCAAATGACACTGTGCACTGACGGGTACTGGCACCCGCTGCGTTCGTGAAGACTTTTATCGTATGCATGAAAGACGGACGCCAGATTGGCCTTCGGCCATCGTACCGCATGAACGACTCACGCCAGAATTCTAACTCCTGGATCGCGTCCACATGCAAAGGCACTTGGTGATGCAAAGGATGACCTTGCCGCAGCATTTCACTTTCCCATTGCGATAACCGCCGGGTCATCAGGACAGACATTTCACCAAAGGAATAACTCATCGACATGATGTGACCTTCTACAGAAGCAACTGCCCGGATATGGCATCGAGCACGATTAACTAACAGGCCGTCAATCATGCGCATCAACGCGTCCCGCTTATGACTGGGTACGGTCATGGTGCCGGTTACCGTATTGACTACTGCCCCCAGATACTGGAATTCTTGGGAAATCGGTTGGCATTTTTCGAGGCTCACCAAGACACCAGCGTGCTCACAATCGAGGAGTACCCTTTCTTGAATTCGAGCTAAAGCATCAGGGGACTGATGCGCATGTACACTATCATCCAAATACCCCGCACAGTGATGGCTTTCAGAGCGCCACCGGTTCAATAGCTCCCTCGTTAACTTAGTGAAGGCCCAGCACACCGGCGCTAGACTGAACGGAAGTTGCGTGAATATGTAAAACTGACCTTTCCACTGAAAACCTAGGTAAGTCCAAAACTTTGGGTCCATGTCAAGGTGATGGTAACCGCTCTTGAAGTCTATGGTAAACGCGTAGTCATTGGGCTGGAGCATGTGTTGTAGGGACGACAATGTTTCGTATTTGAAACTCGGCTTAACCACGTGCTCGGTACCTGAACGAGCTCGTTCAGGTACTGAGCGTCCAGGATTAATCGCTTCTTTCCGTTGTTACGCACAGCGACTCCCAAAGGCAATACGCAGTGGGGCTGCTCTGCGACGTGAAGGGCTGTGCCTGTCTGAACGAGTTATGTGATCGCCTCACTCACGAATGAAGCGTGTTCCTGGGTGGAACCATGGTTCGCTGTGAAAAAGGGAGCTGGTTGTGACGCAATCCAAAGAAGGGAAAACCCCACGACGATCCACTTCAATACCAACGGGTTCTTGACGAACGAAGCCCAGAACCTATAGTGCGCCTTCAAGTGTCCCCTCATAAAGCATTGAGGTTTTGGTCGGTCGGAGCTTTCGACTTCTGCTGGGCCGTCTAGTAAATCATGCACACCTGCCGCTGCGAGTGCTTCATCGTGGGCTTGGCCACGCCGAACGTCCACCTGGCTCTTCCCAGTCCGCACTGGAGCCGTTTGCTCCGAGCTCGGGACGGTGCTAGGGTCGTCGGTATTCTGGACCTGCTACCAAAGCGCGTGTATAAAAGAGTCACCTACTATCCCTTGTAAATGCGTTTGTGGTGTGGCATTTAAACAAACGGCATCTCACCGTGGGCTTCTGGATAGCTACTTCTTTTGGTTCATTTGAAGATTCAATCTGAGCATTAACTTCTTCGGGTTGGCGGGCAGATACTTGCTGTTGAGATGCTGCCTGAAGGTCCACAGCCGAGCTGAAGTTCAGGACTAGCCTCGGAACGCCCCAACTCATCGAGGCCACAGCTGCTGATGGTGCGGATGCTGATGCAGGTCGCGGTGGAGGCGGCGCCTGCGGTTGTTGAGTCTGCTGAGTACTATATGTAATACCAGGAATAACAAGCCTAGGAACACGTGACATAGTATGTAAAATTACAGCAGGAGGCTGAATATGTTGCGTGTATGTAAGCGGTGGTGTTATAGAGGAGTACCAAGTTCATGATATTTTATGATGAGCTGAGTGCGATGCAGCTTTCTACAACGCTATGCTAACGCGTGCTGCCTCCAAATTGTGTCGTACTGCTAACTCTCTACACTAATCTAAGCGAACGCGCTGCATTTGCTATTGCTCCCCGATGCATGCTAGTGTCTTTCATCGCTCTCATTCCAGGCTTACAGCCTGGATTGTTAAAAAGGAAGGGCACATAAGGCCGTATATATTACATAATAGGCCCGCAGCCTTGTAGGGTATGATATACGTCCAATGACATGTTGCCATGAATCTCGCTCGCTTGCAGGCGTCATAGCCCGAATTAGATTTAATCGTGATGTGGCACGCGGCAACCAAGATTGTGCGGGGTAACAGCGACCCTCGTCTCATACTGCAGCCTCTTAGCGCTTCATATAGTCGGAGCGAGCTGTGGATAGAATGATATAGAATGGGGTCCGCCAATCGCAATGTCCGCAATTAAGGATGGGCCATGTGTCTAACTGCACCGCTCTGCCTAACGCTTACACATGCCACGTGTCAAGACCCTAGTTGCCGCCACTCACATCAGTCCCCGGCCGTGGCCGCAGCTGGCCGGCATCATAGGCCCCATGGGCAAGGGCTGGTGGTATTGCTGCTGGCCACCAAACTGCTGCTGGCCACTGAACTGTTGATGGCCGCTAAAATTTGGGTTTGCCCCGCCGCCTTGGTAAGGGTGAAAGCGCTGGGCCCCGTATCCGCCCCGGCTGCGGGGGCTCCACGGCCGCCAAAAGTCTGCACCTCCTGCAGCGGGTTGGTCCCCATCCGGTCCTTAACGTCCCGGACAGCGTGCCGGAAGCGATCCTCACCGCAGTCGTATAGTCAATCTGTGTCCACCTTGACCTCCGCCGTCGGACTGACAGCTTGATGCCGGTTGTTGTTGAAGTATTGTTGCATTACTTCCAGGTGATACTGGTGGCACCGACCACCAGCATCGCAGGACGCGTAAAGCAAGTCCATGATGAAAATGCTTTGCTGTAGGATGTCCACGACGGGCCCTATGTCTGTGACCGTAGCCTGAATGACCTTTAGAGCGGAATGTGCTGAGTAGACTTTGGACCCGATGTCGTGAATCCATGCCGCCATGAATTTAACCGCCTTCGGGCACGAAGCCTCCCGATTCTGCTCTAGGTCTGTATACCTCCTCGATAGAGCCTCCTCCCTGCCCGCGTTAATGTTCGTGAAGACAGCATTGAAGTTCTGATGCTGAATCAGCTGCTCTACGACTTGCGTGGGCACACCTTGAGCTGCCGCAGGAGGCTGAATGACTATATTGTTCGGGTTATTTTGGTTGTTATTGTTTGGAATGTTTAAAATAACCCGAACAATGTAGTCATTCAGCCTCCTGCGGCAGCTCAAGGCGTGCCCATGCAAGTCGTAGAGCAGCTGATTCAGCATCAGAACTTCAATGCTGTCTTCACGAACATTAACGCGGGCAGGGAGGAGGCTCTATCGAGGAGGTATACAGACCTAGAGCAGAATCGGGAGGCTTCATGCCCGAAGGCGGTTCAATTCATGGCGGTATGAATTCGCGACATCGGGTCCAAAGTCTACTCAGCACATTCCACTCTAAAGGTCATTCAGGCTACGGTCGCAGACGTAGGGCCCGTCGTGGACATCCTACAGCAAAGCATTTTCATCATGGACTTGCTTTACGCGTCCTGCGACGCTGGTGGTCGGTGCCACCAGTATCACCTGGAAGTAATGCAACAATTCAACAACCTGCATCAAGCTGTCAGTCCGACAGTGGAGGTCAAGGTGGACACAGATTGACTATACGACTGCGGTGAGGATCGCTTCCGGCACGCTGTCCGGGACGTTAAGGACCGGATGGGGACCAACCCGCTGCAGGAGGTGCAGACTTTTGGCGGCCGTGGATACTGCCGCAGCCGGGGCGGATACGGGGCCCAGCGCTTTCACCCTTACCAAGGCGGCGGGGCAAACCCAAATTTTAGCGGCCATCAACAGTTCAGTGGCCAGCAGCAGTTTGGTGGCCAGCAGCAGTACCACCAGCCCTTGCCCATGGGGCCTATGATGCCGGCCAGCCGCAGCCACGGCCGGGGACTGATGTGAGTGGCGGCAACTAGGGTCTTGACACGTGGCATGTGTAAGCGTTAGGCAGAGCGGTGCAGTTAGACACATGGCCCATCCTTAATTGTGGACATTGCGATTGGCGGACCCCATTCTATATCATTCTATCCACAGCTCGCTCCGACTATATGAAGCGCTAAGAGGCTGCAGTATGAGACGAGGGTCGCTGTTACCCCGCACGATCTTGGTTGGCCGCGTGCCACATCACGATTAAATCTAATTCGGGCTATGACGCCTGCAAGCGAGCGAGATTCATGGCAACATGTCATTGGACGTATATCATACCCTACAAGGCTGCGGGCCTATTATGTAATATTTACGGCCTTATGTGCCCTTCCTTTTTAACAATCCAGGCTGTAAGCCTGGAATGAGAGCGATGAAAGACACTAGCGTGCATCGGGGAGCGATAGCAAATGCAGCACGTTCGCTTAGATTAGTGTAGAGAGTTAGCAGTACGACACAATTTGGAGGCAGCACACGTTAGCATAGTGTTGTAGAAAGCTGCATCACACTTGGTACTCCTCTATAACACCACCGCTTACATACGCGCAACATATTCAGCCTCCTGCTCTAATTTTACATACTATGTCACGTGTTCCTAGGCTTGTTATTCCTGGTATTACATATAGTACTCAGCAGACTCAACAACCGCAGGCGCCGCCTCCACCGCGACCTGCATCAGCATCCGCACCATCAGCAGCTGTGGCCTCGATGAGTTGGGGCGTTCCGAGGCTAGTCCTGAACTTCAGCTCGGCTGTGGACGTTCAGGCAGCATCTCAACAGCAAGTATCTGCCCGCCAACCCGAAGAAGTTAATGCTCAGATTGAATCTTCAAATGAACCAAAAGAAGTAGCTATCCAGAAGCCCACGGTGAGATGCCGTTTGCTTAAATGCCACACCACAAACGCATTTACAAGGGATAGTAGGTGACTCTTTTATACACGCGCTTTGGTAGCAGGTCCAGAATACCGACGACCCTAGCACCGTCCCGAGCTCGGAGCAAACGGCTCCAGTGCGGACTGGGAAGAGCCAGGTGGACGTTCGGCGTGGCCAAGCCCACGATGAAGCACTCGCAGCGGCAGGTGTGCACGATTTACTAGACGGCCCAGCAGAAGTTGAAAGCTCCGACCGACCAAAACCTCAACACTTTATGAGGGGACGCTTGAAGGCGCACTATAGGTTCTGGGCTTCGTTCGTCAAGAACCCGTTGGTATTGAAGTGGATCCTCGTGGGGTTTCCCCTTCTTTGGATTGCATCACAACCAGCTCCCTTTTTCACAGCGAACCACGGTTCCACCCAGGAACACGCTTCATTCGTGAGTGAGGCGATCACAGAACTCGTTCAGACAGGCACAGCCCTTCACGTCGCAGAGCAGCCCCACTGCGTATTGCCTTTGGGAGTCGCTGTGCGTAACAACGGAAAGAAGTGATTAATCCTGGACGCTCGGTACCTGAATGAGCACGTGGTTACGCCGAGTTTCAAATACGAAACATTGTCGTCCCTACAACACATGCTCCAGCCCAATGACTACGCGTTTACCATAGACTTCAAGAGCGGTTACCATCACCTTGACATGGACCCAAAGTTTTGGACTTACCTAGGTTTTCAGTGGAAAGGTCCGTTTTACGTATTCACGCAACTTCCGTTCGGTCTAGCGCCGGCGTGCTGGGCCTTCACTAAGGTTAACGAGGGAGCTATTGAACCGGTGGCGCTCTGAAAGCCATCGCTGTGCGGGGTATTTGGATGATAGTGTACACGCGCATCAGTCCCCTGATGCTTTAGCTCGAATTCAAGAAAGGGTACTCCTCGATTGTGAGCACGCTGGTGTCTTGGTGAGCCTCGAAAAGTGCCAACCGATTTCCCAAGAAATCCAGTATCTGGGGGCAGTAGTCAATACGGTAACCGGTGTAGGGGTAGCTGCGATAGCTCTGCGAACAGGAGGCGGTGTGTTGGTCTGGCAGCTCCTACAATTTGCCGCACGAAAGATATCTGAAGCTGCACTGCCCTGTCCTTTAGGCATGCCTCGAAGGGCCCCTCTGCAAGGTTATTCGCATCACTCCACTTCCTGAGCCTGTCCGAGACCTCAGCTAGCATAAACGGCCCCCACGCTTGACAACCATACAACAGTATTGCTCGTACCTGCGTATCGAAACACCTCATCCTCACATCTGGGGCGAACAACTTTAGCTTATCTTATTTTGCACTCAACGTGAACATAGCTGCTCTAGCTGTGTCATACAACTGCTGACGGCAGGCCCAGAACTGCAGTTCCGGCCCATACACTAACCCCAGATATCGTGCACTATCCTTAGCCGGTATGGCCTCTCCAGCCAGCCTGAGCTCATCACACGATGCTTGGACAGCACTTCTAGTATCGCTGTCGCTTGCAAAAACGGGCTTTGGAAACACGGGCAGCTGCTTCACCAGGACCCCCCTCTTTTCTACGATTAATCGCCATACAGCACCATTTGCCATTAGGGTTTTGCCACATATATACGGCCAGGGGAACCCATGGTAACCTCTCCACACTCCACGCCCCCTTAATGCAAGAGCCTTACTTAGGGTTGAGGAGTATTACTATTATTACTATTATTACTATTATTATTACTATTATTATTACTATTATTACTATTATTACTGTTATTACTATTATTACTATTATTTCTTATTATTGTTACTGTTATTTACTACCATGTGTTATTTTTATTATTCGAATCTCATACCCTTCCACCCTTCTACTTCATTTGGGCCCAGGCGCATAATCTCTGCTTTCCGCGTGAAATCCCAACCGACCTTCAACCATCACTCAGGTATTCGAGGCCGTCCGCAACGACTGGATGAACAACCGTACTGAGTCCTGGATGGCTCTGCATGTGCCGTACACGGGGCTGGTGGAGGCGCTGAGCGTTACCCCCTTTCCCATCTTCATTGCATCCTCCAAGGTAAAGAGGATACATCAGGGCGAGGGAATTAGTGTGATCTGATCCTCCGGTGAAGTGGGAGAATGACCAGCGCGAGAGGCTGCGGACTCCCACTCCGACTCCTGCTCCAACTCCCTGCCAGCAATCGCCACTCAACTACGATTGGGAGCGGCGATTTATGCGAATTTCGCAACCAACCAACAATGGGGACTCGTCAACTCCACATCCCATTTAACAAAACATACAAAATGTCCACGTCCGCGAACAAGTAGCAAGGTTCTTATAGCTCTTATTATTGCTGCTGAATAGCTTTGGCTGGCCCCTGCGGCTGTCCCGACGTCTGCCTGTCTATCTGTCCGCCTATCTGTCTGTCCGCCTGTCTGTCTGTCCGCCTGTCTGTCTGTCTGTGGGGCCCTCAAGTTCTGTAGCCCATATGCGTGTCCATCCATCCATCCCTCTGCTCCGTACACCTGCCGTACCCCGTACCAGGCTGGCCATCGGGTCAGTGCCCTGTCCGCAGCATTACTGGGTTGGGATCTACCACTCGACTCACCCAGGCTCTGCGCGTCACTTCTACCGCCCGAGGAAAAGAAGGCGGAGGCGCTGCGGTGAGCACAGGAGGATCACAGGTGGCCGGCACGGGGTAGGGGCCTGTTTGCAGAAGGACGTCGCGACCTCAACAACGCCGTCGTTGGAAAAGAAGGAATAACTTTAATAAGCGTAGGTTATGCGGCGAAGCAGACCGACAAAATAGCTCTCTCTCTGTGCATGTGTGTATGTGCATGTTTGTGCGTATGTAGGTGTGTGTGAACCCTACAAGTATCTGACCGGACCTGACACTGGCCGTGTGTGTGCGTGTGTGCCAGGTAGGGCGAGAGGTTGGGTGAGAAGTGGCCGAGCCGAAACGATCTTTTATGTGTATATATGTATGTATGTATGTATGGATGGATGGATGGATGGATGGATGCGCATGCATGCATGCATGCATGTGTGCCAGGCACTACAAAACTATCTTGCAGAAACTGTCACGTAATTATTGAATCATTCGTACGTTCGTACCTAGCACCCGTGCATCGCCGTACTCCACCCACCCATCCCCCTCAGGACCATCTCGCATCAGCCCTTGTGTAACGCCTCGCCGCACACCCGACTACACTTCGTGGACGATCGGCTTGACACGCTACTGGCTGTACGGCAGGTTCCGGAGCTGGCTTCACGATGGAACTTATACCTGGCAGACTGGTGCGTGTTTTTTGGAATTTCACGAAGTGTCAAGACGTGGGTGTGTTATTATTAAGCAGCATATGCACGTGGCGCCTTTCAGCAGCGGCCTTTCCTAATGGGGCTCCGTACTTCATATGGAAGATGCTCAAACCCCATAATTCTACTCAATCCTCCTCTTTTATCGGCAAATGGCCCTCGGCAATTCCTTCCTGTTGGCGCTTATCATCATCAGGGGCTACAACACGGCTGAGGAGCGCGCTGCTGCGGCCCGTGAGCCCGGCATCCGGCTGCTGGGGCTGAGCGACTTCACCGCCTTGCTGGCGCCGCCACGTGAGGCCGCCGTGGAGCCTGCTGTGCTGCGCTGCGGAGATGTGAGGAGAGCCTGAGGAGATCTGTGTCAATGTAAAATCTATCTATCTATCTATCTATCTATCTATCTATCTAGGTGGCTATTACTGGAACAGCTCACAAAAGAGTCGGGGGGCTGCTTGGGGAACTGGAACTGAAGAGACGCGGGTTGAGGAGCGATTGAAGAAAATCTAAATTGGTGATTTGGTGAACTGAGCCGCGAGGAAAGGAAACACGCCGAACGCTGGTCCTATGGTCGGTCTTAAGGGGAGGTTAGAGCGATTTGAAAGCGGTAGGAAGTTCTCCGCGAAAAAAAATCTCCGCGTTTCTTACAGCGAGTTCAACATCGTTTTTATGAAAGGCATCAGATCAGCCACACCAGGCTGGGTTGCGTGCGTCTGTCTCTGGGTGAATGGTGCTCACGGCGATGGAGACGGAAGGGCACGAGGAAGGGGGGGCTGTAGGCGAGCTAGTGTGTCACATTGGATGCGGCACTAAGGGATGCGGCTTTAGATCCTCCCGTCGTAGTTCCGCCGCCCATTTGGGGGATGGTGAAAAGTTATCAGTAATAATGGCATATAGTGAATCATAAAGATGAATCAGCAATAATGAGGAATTTAGTGAGGTGATAGGGGAGGTGAGGGGGTGATAGGAGACCCGTAGACACGGAAAGGAAAAAGCTCTGATTAGCGATCCCTAACGATCTGGAGCTTTTGCGGCTCTATCCGGAGCTACCTTTCCTGCTATCATGTCATGTCATGTGTGCTGTGCTGTGCTATGCAGCAAAAGGACCCCTGGTGCCTGTGAGGGCGTATGGTGATCAATTTTGTGGGGTGATAACGGCACCAGTGTGTGCCACATGTAAGAGGGAGCCCGTTTGTATGCGTGTACGTGTTTCTCGGTCTTCGAAACATGTGGCTCAATTTTTTGCAGGATGGGAATTATCACTGATGGGAGACGTGGTACGTAAGGTTGATGGAAAATTGGGAATGCGTGCGCGCGCTCGAGAGGTGGGGTCTGATGGGGAGGCCGGCTTTGGCGTACGTACGGCCTGACAGCAGGTCGTGTGCACAAGCTCAGTCTTGTTCCGCCGTCTTCGTACGGCAATAGAAACCATGCACGGTGAACCCTTGCCACATCATGACCTTTGCTGTTTCGTGAAATATCTTTGACCTTGGACGTGCAGCATACGATGGATGAAGCTTAACACACAACGAACCTTAACGGAATTGACTCGGGGGGTGGCCCGAAGGTGCGTTGGGCCATGGCTAGTTCGCAAGTGCTGGAGCTCGGCAAGCACAACTGCCCGAAATAGGATGGGGAAGATAGGGGCGGGGCTACCGGCAAGCATATGTAGCTCTCGAGAGCGTGCACCATCGGGCCCAACCCACTATGCCAATTTAAAATCCAATCCTCAAGCCGTGGCCAATGAAGGGACGTGGCGACCATGATACTAAGCATGCAGGTAGAATTGCATCAGCTATAGCTATATGCGTCGTAGGAGTTTTTCTTGTGTATGTTAGCTTTAGTAATAGTATACCGAAAACTAAAACCTAATCCTATTTCGTCAACGTTGGGCACATGGCATTTTGGTTTTGACTTTTTGGTGGGCTGCCCCACAAGAAGCGCAACGGTAACCGCTGCAACGCACTAGTTATTCGAGGTCATTGATCTGGCCGCAGCCATTCAGAACAAGTTCGAAGCGATATTTACAATCTTTGCTGTTAAGATAATCTATTATTAAACCGTAACGGCACCTGGATCCCTGTCGAGCAGGGCTAGTCATGTTTGAATAAAGCTCTCGCAGGAGCATCGTGCAGGTAGGCATGCGGTTGCGCAGAAGCGGGCCGAGGGCCACGCTGCAAACCTGAAGTCCGAGCGGACTCGACTCACGATACATTTATAGTTAAATGTGTGTGAACTGGACGCGAAAGCAGTTGCCCAGCAGCGACCGGCGGCAGCGCCACGGCCTGAGTCCTCCGCACCACTCCAGCCCTGCTACTTCCTTTTCGGCCCATTCCCTCCCATTCCCTCTCTATCATGTCCAACAGTTCATGTCGGAGATCTGATCTGGTAGCCAACCGCCACGGAACAGCCGCACGCCTCCTGCCTTGCCTATCAGCCGAGACACCATCACCGCTAGCCCCCGCGGCCGCCGCCGTTACATGACAGACCCAGCTCAGTCTAGCTCTATGAAGCCTCAGCATGAATATGAACCGCCACCTGCAACGCGCTACGCACTTGCCCGCCAGACGCCGCTTTTGGACAGCGCTACAAGGCCGCTACTTGACCTCGAAACCAGGCCCAGGTCCAGGTCTGCGACAGTAGAGATCTCCATCAGTGCAGTAGCGCCGCTCACCGGGTTTTACCGGTTTAAAACCCTAAAACCCCTGAAAACCTAAGCCTACCACCTCTTTCCCCTTCCCGCATTTTCACCATGGGTCTGTCTAGCTCCAACAGCGACACAGTCCCACCGTTCAGAGAATAGCGCCCAATAGCGATAGCTCCGCCGCAAAAGCGCCCCCTTCAAGTCTCCCCAACCCGCCACCAGAACCTTCAACGCAGAACCTTCAACGCTTGACCCAGGTAAAGCCACGGCGTGCCTTGGCGCGGCCTGGTTTCTTTCGCTCCACCAGACGGCCGTCCCATCGTGTGTACTCTTCCAGCTGAGACGCAAGGGAGGGTTGCTGCACGCACAGAGCGCGCGCCACCGCGGTGCGGACAGCCTGCGCCTGGCCCGAAAGGCCGCCACCGCGGACGCGCACGGCAATGTCGTATTTGGCTTCGGAGCCTGTCAGCACCAGCGGCTGCAGCGCGTGCTGTCGGAAGCCCGGGTCACGAAAGTACGACGCGATCGGCAAGCCGTTGACGGTCATTTGACCGGATCCTGGAACTAGATCTAGCGTGGCGGAGCTGGTCTTGCGCTTGCCGGCGGTGTGGGTCACGCCGTCTACGTCTATGTGGGGCCCTATGCGCGGCTGACGGCGCCCGGAATCAGCTGTGGCGCTGACCGACGCAGCTGGCGCATTAGACACCGTTGCCGTCGTCGTCGCGGGGCTATACAACTGCCTTACGAGATCTGCCGGGTCGGGTTTCGAAAAGATGACCTCCAGTGGCTCCAGACGGGGTGTGTGTTGGTACGGCTCAAGGAAATGCTGGGCGTAGTGGGCCCATGGGGAAGCCTCGCCCCGCTGCACCCGTGCAAAGTCGTGGGCAGCCGCATCCCTGGCCAGGGTTAGCTCTTCCAGTGCTGCGCAGTAAGCTGCGGCGTGCGCGGGACTGGGGCAACGGGTCACAGCGACGCTCTGGTGGGGGTCGTCCAGCATCTGGCCCAGCATTATGGACACCTGGTGAATCTGCTGGACGCGCTGGCGCACCTTCCGTGCAAGGTCAGCATCGTTCTTTGCGCGGAAAGATGACGACAATAGAACATGCGACTTCAGTAGCGCGGTCAATTGCTCTCTGCGATGTGCCATTTTCCGCGTATGGTCCCAAGTTGAATACAAAGGTGACAGGACCGAGGGTCGCAACGAGAATAAAAGTGGCGTGCTGTTGTCCGAACTGCTAGTTGGGCTCCCTTGTGCTGCTGCCGACTCCGAAAGGCTGCGAGGTCCAGCTGCAGAAGCAGGCGCTGCACCAGCTCCTGATGTCAGCGCCCGTTCAATGCTCCAGGTGGAGCAGCATGACCATAGGCTGCCTGTGCCACGGATTGCTGAAGCTACTGATGCTGAGAGGCTAGCGGGCCCAAGCGATGCCACGCCGGAAGCCCCGATACCTTGGAGCATCATCAGTACGTCGGCTTGAACAGCTTAGTACCGGCGCCAAAAAATATTAACGTTGAGATGTAACAAGCACTTACATAGCGCCCTGTGAACTAGAACTGATATCAGTCTTTACAATTTCGATGTTATCAAGGACATGGAACTACAGAATAGCAGATGGGCAATCGAGGCCAGTCTGGCAATTGTGACAACCCGGTCGTTTGTACGGCAAACGCTTGACAGCAAGTCAGCATTTCAGCAGCACCAGTTGCAAGTGGAGTTCACCCGCCGAACGTTAGTGTTATTTATGCTGGCTTTGACAGATGTTATTATTTGGGAAGAAATTGGTATTAGAGTCGCCGTTGGTGATATTTAAGCGACGTAATCAAACGCAGTGAAACTACATAGCTATTCATTTGCAACATGATATCATTTCTCAACACTCTGGTCTTAGCGATTTGATGTAAACTCCCACCTGCACGGCCGTGGCCACGAATCGCATGGCCATACCCCTTCCCTTGCGAGCCGAAGAAAGGCCTTATCTCCGCCGAACAAACGCTGTACACAATCCCCTGGCGTGGTCCTCACTAAGGCCTCGCCGCTCGCATCTTCACTCCTGGACCGCCTTTATCCCCTTCTTACCAACCCGCTCTTTCCACACTGTTACCAGCCCACCAGCTCACCGACCGCCGGCGATCGCCTCCATCAACCAAACAGCATCTTTTTCCCGCAGCTCACACCAAAACAACCTTTCCATCTCCACGTCCCACAGCAACGATCGCGCCTCCCATCCTAGGTCCTCCTACGAAACTGGCCTGCTCTCCCCTAGTAATAACAATGCATCAGTACCGGCGGCGGCGGCAGATAATGGTCCAGGCAGACCACCCCTTAACCCCAAAACCCTTGGAGCCGCTCCTCCCGAGACCCCCACCCCCCCTGGAGGGCGCGCTCTCAGCCATCTGTTGAAAATGGGCAGGAGCCGTCGGAAAGGAGCTAGTACGGGACGAGAAAGAGGACGAGCCGGACTGCGTCTGACGCAACCCGGGGTTCTCAGTCCTAGCCGCCCTGTGGCCGATGATGGCGAACTGAAGGGCAGCAGCGGTTTAGGTGACGGTGAAGGGAGTAATAGCAGTAGCATTGGCAGTAGCAGTAACGGCCACGATCACAATAATTACAGCAGCGATGGCACCACCGACATAACCAGGAACGGCAGCAGCGCGAGCAGCAGTAGCAGCAGCAACAGCAGTGGCAATACCAGTAGTGATAATGATGTTACATCAATTCATAATAACCCGTGGCTGGAGAGGAGCTCGAACGTGGTTCAGTTTCCGGAGGACCTGTACTCCTTCCACCTCGCTGTGATGTCGGATGCCGCCTCGCACTGGCATCCGCTGGTGATCAGTGCCGCATTCAACCACGTGGCCAAGGTAGGGGGGGAAGGGGAGGGGAGGAGGGAGAAGGTGGCGGGGAGGAGGAGGGAGAAGGTGGAGGGGAGGAGGAGGGGGAAGGTGGAGGGGAAGGGAGGAGGGAAGGAAACGAATGTTCACCATTCTTGGTTCCATCCCTTAGGTCGATTGACGGTCTGTTTGAAGATTCCTGATACCTGTGTTGGGTTGGGTTGGGTTGGGTTGGGTTCCCGTGTCCATCCACCTCCCCTTGCCATGCGGTTATCACTGCCGGAACGCCGTACGTTGTACTGCATGGGCAGCTGATGGAAAGGCACGACGTGACTGGACTGCCGCCGTACAACAGACCGGCTGGCGGACGGTACAACATGGGCAAGTACGGCGGTGGCGGAGACGATGATAATGACGGCGGCGGCGGCGGCGGCGACGGCGGCAATAGGAGTGGAAAGGGGTCCACGGCCACGGGGGTCCAGCTCCGGCAAATCCTCGACGTGTTGCACGCCGCCTTCCTGCCGTACATTCCCTGGATCATCAACTCCCGTTACGCCGTCAACGCGCTGTGGGTGTGCGCCAAGACGGGCTACTGGGGCGCACCCGGCAGCGCCTTTGTGCCCGAGCTGCTGAAGCGCCTGAGGAGGGACAGGTACGGGCTACTTTACAAGTTCAACGGCCAAGATCACGCCAACCTGTGGTGGGCGCTATCGCAACGTGAACTTTGCCATCACCAACCCCAACACCAACAGCTGCACCAACACCAGCACCAACACCAACAGCTACAGCAGCAGCAATCGCCTCCTTCTCCTGCTGCTCCCCTGGAAGCGGTTGGGGACATCTTGCACACGTCCGCCGCCCTCCTGAAGGAGAGCTGCCCCTACGTGAACACGGGGAGGGGGCTCCAACAGCCGCCACAGCAGCCGGAGAAGAAGGAGGGGGAGAGGAACTGGAACCCGCACACGCACCAGCTTGTTGCCGGCTCGTTGCGGCCGCAGGTGGGGTGGAATGGGGTGGGGTGGGGTCGGGTGGGGTCGGGAGGAGTGGATCAGCAGTGGATGCATCATTGGCCAAAGTGGTCAATGTGGTAGTCGTGACGCAGGCCCCCCTCAAACGGTGCCTTTGCGCTACACCTGCCAACCACCAACCGACACGTGTTAACTGTCAACTGCCCACTGCTGCCTCCCAACGAACTGTATTTCAGGTGTTCAGCAACATCATCCTCGCGGCTTCCCGTCTGAACTACCGTCACGATGTCGAGCTCATCGATGGTTTGCTTAGCTGCATGGTGCAGCATGTGGGGCCACTCCAGGCACAGGTGGATGGGGCTGAGGGGGGAGGGAAGAGGGAAAGAGAAGAAGTGAAATTACTGTACGAACCAGATGTACTTCATGGCATCCCCATTCCAGAGGGGAAGAGGGCGATGCGGTCATTTGGTCGCGAAGAGTCGATGTCTGTGAGCTGCACCTGACCAGGCGATTCCTCGATGCCATGCAAAAAAACGTTTTACACATGACTACGGCTGCTGCTACGGCTGCTGCTGCTGCTGCTGACGCTGTTGTTAATGGCTACCGTGGTCATCTCCTTGCGAGCTGCAGGACATCTCCAATACAGTGTATGCACTGGGAGAGCTGTACGGCAGTGCTTACTCCCACAGTACGGCATTTGTGGACAAGGAAGATGGCGCCGACAGCGATGTGGACAAAGGCGACATTGCCGTCGATGATGATGGTGATGATGATGATGATGGTGGTGATGGTGGTGATGATGCCGCGACTAACAGTCGCAGTGGCACTGACTCGGATTCTGATGGCGCCAAAGAGGAAGGAGGAGGAGGAGGAGGAGGAGGGCGCGGAGTAAGTCGTCGTGGTGAAGATGGAGGACGTTATCGCAGCGACACGGCCGCCAAGCCAGACACGGATCCCTGTGACCAAAGCGCCACCCATAACGGCCTCGGGACCAGCGGGCGGCGGCGGCGGCGGCGGCGGCTCCCCGCAGCAGACGCAGAAGCAGCAGAAGCAGCAGCAGCAGCAGCGGTGGTGGTGACATCTTTGTTGCTCCACATTCGATTGCTAGCCGACAGAGCCCTGCGGCTGGGCCTCCATCGCTTCAACCCGCAGGTTTGTGGGAACTGGGAGCTGGGGGGTTAGGAGGTGATGTCATGGGCTTTGGGTCGTGTGGTAAGTACGGCAAACCCGAGTTTCTTTTCCTCCTCCGTATCTGCTTTCGGATCACCTCTTTTTCCTGACACGCCTCTTCTAGGCAAGAAATGTAAGGAAAGTGTCGTACAGTTTCACATTTCATTTCTTTATATCCGTACTCATGGGCTTTCCTTTTTTTAGAGTTTTTTCCACTTCATGAGAGTGGTGGTCCGCGCGCGAATGTCGTTTGTGTAAGCGTTTTTACCAGTTTGTCGGTTTGTCAGTTTTGTCGGTTTGTCGGTTTCCACTTATCATCCGCCCTCTTCAGGCGCTGTCCATCACACTGTACGGACTGGCTCGCTTGAGACTGACATTGAAGAAGGGAAAGCGAGGGGGGGGAGGGGGCGGAGGCGGGGGGATGGATGGCAATGGTGGAGTCCCGGCCAAGAGCTTTCGTCACGGGGCGCGGGCCGCGGCTGGGGCGACGGAGGCGATGGAAGAGCAACAGCAGCCGCCGTCACCCCAACGTGATCAGCACCACCACCACCACCACCGTCATCATCATTGGCAGCAGCAGCAGCCGCCACAGCCTCCTCCTCCCAGAATCCGAGGAGATCCCGGTACAGCATTGGATCCGGATTCTGATTCGATCACGTGGTTCGCGGTTAAACTGGCGTGTCACGTGCGTGAGCGGATCCAGGTGAGTTTGTTGGGCAGTTGGGGGGTTATGTGCGTGTGTGTGCGTGTTTTGGTGTTGGGGGGGAGTTTTGGGATTGGGGTCGGTGTACGGGAGTTGGAACCCTAAGGGGTTTGCAAACGTCGTGAAGCAGCCTGGACGTGTAAGTGGCTGTGTATGGGAGTGTATAAAGTAATAACACAACCGAAGTTGGAACCAACTTTGGAAACGAGTGACGGTTATAGATTACACCTTAAAGATTTGCTGCTGCACCTGCCACACGTATTCGTCGATCAGCTGCTCACCTTCCTTATCTTTTTATAAATGGTTTTCCTGTGAATCTAACTTATTTATTTATTATTTTATTTATCTATCCTTTTATTTATGATTTACTTATAGTTGTTATTATTTTATTATTATTTACTAATTTTTTATTATATTTTTAATATTTACTTGTATATTGGCTGGCCGGCTGGCTGACTCGCCAACTTTTTTGCGAACTGCAGGGAGGGTCGTGGCCGGGGTGTGCACCTCAGTCCCTGAGCAACATCACGTGGGCCCTGGCCGTACTTGGGTACGACGAACAGTCGTGCTACACTGCGGTCGTACAGGCTGCGCTTCGGTGCGACTGCATGGCGCACGCCCGCCCTCAGGTTGGTCGGTTGGCTTTTGGTTGGCCGGTTAGTTAGTTGGTTGGTCGGTTGGGGGCCATCTTTTTTTATTCGGCCATCTTTCAGAGGCGGCTTATTGGATGGATCGTACTGGAGGAGGCGCAGGTCGTCGGGTAGAGCTGAAAGTCAACAGAAACATTTTATGAAAATATAATTTCAAACATTCTGAAGATTGGATTCACATTGCAGAAGTACGTGCGGGTAGGTGCGGGTAGGTTCGGCTGTCGCCTGTGTGTATGTATGTATGTTACTTCTTGCTGGATTCAGTGTCTTTTTCCCGACATTACGTCACACTGTACGGCACACTCTTCAATCCGCCCACTCGGCCCTTAACGGCTTGCCTTGCGCATAGCCACGTAAATGTACAACATGTATACGGCAGCCCACATCGTCTACGACGACGACGACGAGGAAAAGAAGAAGATGACGCTGATGATGTTGATGTTGATGGTGACGATGATGATGATGATGATGATGATGGTGATGATGATGGTGATGGTGATGATGATGATGATGATCTTGCTGTTGTTGTTGTCTTCCATGTTATTGACGCCCCGCCGCCGCCGGTGCACCATCCCGCCGCCGCCGCCGCCGCCACCGCCACCGCCACACACGCGGCAATTCACCTCCCACCTCCCACTTACTCCACAACTCGCGCAGGAGTGGTCAGCCCTGTTGTGGTCCCTAGCTAGCGTCAGGCATAGGCCGTTCCAAGAGCTCGTACAGCTCCTCCTCCCGCCGCCTCCGCCTGCCGTCAACCCTTCGCTGCGGCTGCTCCACCAAGATGAACGCGAAGACCAAGATCAAGATCAAGGCCGTGCGGAAAAGGGATATCGTAGAGGAGGGGGAAGGTACGGCGGCTCGCAACTTCCCCCACTCGGCCGCAGCCGCATGTACGGCGTGCCTGGCAGGGCGGACGGACCTTATCCCCTTGATCGCGACCGCATGTACGGCACGTACGTCAGATCGAAGGGTCGTCACCCCGGCGAGGATGGCTGGGGACGGGAGCACTGGCGAGAGCTCAGCATGGTCTTTTGGGCGTTGGCAGCGCTGGACCTGTACGACGATCGGGTGATGACGTGGATCTCGAAATCTCTTTTGGATCTCGTCCTGTTGGACGATCGACGTACGGTGACGAAGTACGGCGTGGAAACAATCTCAGGAATGGATCCCCAGGCGCTGAGCAGCTGCTTGTGGGCGCTGGCTGTGATGCCGGAAGGTACAATCGTACGGCATGTGGAGCTGGTTTCGGCGCTGGTAGCGACGGTTAACCGCCTGGACGAGATCGACTTTACCGAGCTGTGAGTACTGCTGTCCTTCTTGGTGCGAGTTTGTTGCTGGTTGGTTGGTTGGTTGCCTTAGTGCCGTACTCCAGGAGTGCGGGTTACCTGGGAACTTCTCTGTGTGTATATGTGTAGGTATGTATGTACGTGTATATGTTCACTAACCCCAGAACCTATCTACCTACTTATCTATCTATCTATCTATCTATCTATCTATCTATCTATCTATCTATCTATGTACTGTTACATCGCAGCTGACCGGGCCCAATAGTACCGTCCGAGGACAGCGGCCCTGCCCTAACCGTAGCGCTAGGCAGCCGAACGGTTGGCTGTCGCCGAGGCTCTCGGGATGCATCAGGGCTTGAGGGGCCACTGTTCTCACACACATATATATATTTGTACGTGCGAACCAGCCCATCGACCTCTGCAGTACTGACCACCTCAACTAATCCAAGAACCTTCGTTTCCAGCTTTCCACCACAACCTGCTTTTGCACGCTGTAGTATTTGTAAGTTAGTCTAGCCCTTGACAGTAAGCAGGACATATAGTATACCTTTATACGATTCTTTTGTACGACAATTTTGTGTACGACAATCAATGTCCCTTTACCCCAACCCCCAACCCATCATATTTTGAACCCTCCGCTCCACACACACGCCGCCCCTTACCTGGCCTCCTCCTACCTCCCCACCCGCCCCCTGCCAACCTTCCCCTCTCACCCCACCCAGCGAGCTGACCCAGCTGTGGCAGGCGCAAGTGGAGCTGGGGGCTGCTGCTTCGCGACTTCGCGACGTCACACAGCTGTCATCCACCACACGGCCCACCTCCCCCACCTCCCCCACCGCCTCCACGCCATCTCCATCTCCAACCCCATCTCGATCCTATCTCCACACGCTCCGTTTCCTCAGTCCCCATCTTGCGACTGCAGCACGTAAAGCCATGCTGTCTGCCACCTCCTCCTCCTCTGCCGGCTGCCCCTCGGCCCCCCCTGGCCCCTCCGCACAACCGAGGAGGTGGAGCTCCGCCTGGTCAACATCTTCCGGCTCGGGCGGCTCCGGCGGCGCGCTGGCAGGGATCAGGGGGGTCCAGGACGGGGATGGACTTGAGGTATGGACCGCTGCCGTCACCGCCTCCACCTCCGCCACCGTCGCCGCAGTAGCAGCCTGCAGCAGTACCGGTAGCAGTACCATTACCAGTGCGCTGCAGCGAAGCGTTTGTGAAACTCTTTGCGCCATCATGAGGCGGAGTACGGCGAAAGCGGTGGAAGCCAAGGAAATGCAGTCGTTGCCACAGCAGCACCGACAGCCATCACAGCGGGGCCGGCAGCGGCAACGGCAGCAACCACCGTCGACGGCGGCCTCTGACGTCGAAGATGGCGGTCCTGCCGTCCGCGCGGTTGCCGCCGATGATGACGTTGTTGTTCGCATCTTGCGTGTTGAGCCCGAGTGGTTGGTGGAGGAGCTGGCTCTGCGTGTCGACTTGTGTGTGTGGCTGAGTGACGGGCGGCAGGTGGTGGTTGAGGTAGACGGGCCCAGCCACTACTTCGCCAACCAGCCGCGCACCCGACGGCCCAAGACCGCGCTGAGGGATCGGCAGCTGGGCAGGGTGTTCGGACCGGACAACGTCAAGTGCGTGCCGTACTGGGAGTGGGACGAGCTGAGGTATGCGGACGTCGATGTGGCGGCGCGACGGGAGGAGCTCCTAGGCCGGCTGCTTGAGCTGTGGGGCAACGGTTCGCAATAGGTCGTACTGTACTGCTGGCAGTACAATGTTGTACACAGAGCGTTTCGTACAGGGCCTTTCACAGCACAGCCACATTAGGGAAGGACAGAAGTGGCAGCACCCCCTGTGATGTCAACCTGAGGATGTGTTTGACGTTGATTTGCGTCCTTGTTAATAAGTTTGGTATGACTGTATGAGTTCGAATGGGGAACGCGAGTAAAAGAAAATCGTGGGGGCTGTCGCCCTAAGAAGGCCTTTTCTCTTCTATTTCTCTCCCCTTCTCTCTCTCTCTCTCTCTCTCTCTCTCTCTCTCCCTTTCTCCCTTCTCTCTTCCCCTTCTCGCGCGCCTAAAGTAAAGCAGACACCGGGGTGGCTCAGTTCTCTAACTTCTCTAACACAACGCAGCACAATCTATGGAACCGCGTTCTTGGCGTGGTACATGACGCAGGGTAGAAGAGTTATTATCACAGGCAAATCCAGAGGAGTTGTTTGGAAAAGATGGAGGGTAGTTGAACGAACCCCGTGGCACTATCGCCGCGGTAAGATAGTTCTTCCCTATGTGGCTGTGAGTCGCTTCCTCTGCGGTCGGTTGGTTGGTATCGCTCGTTTAGATGTACACACGCGTATTAATAACGAATATATCCTGGAGAACAGTGAGAGAGTTGTTGGGCGGGGGATTTAGGGGGCGTTGCCGTCCACCGTCATCGTGATGATCTGCGTTGCGCTTTCAGATTATGAAGTAAAGTGTGGTATATGCTCCCATGCTCCGCATTTTGGTTAATCGCGTAGGCGAGCTCTGTGCGGGTGACCTTCATGCAGCGCGAAGCGTATGACGATGTCTGAAGTATGGATATCTGCGTGTTAGCTTTATGTCAAATTATGTCAAGGTGCTTTAGCTTATGTGCAAGGATGGCGTTTGCAGATCGCAGACCGCCGTGACCCACATGATTTTAACTCAAAATCGTTAGGTTTTCCGTTACCCTGATTGAGGATACCAACGCCCATAGGGTAGCTGATGTTGTTAAGGTGCTTTCACAGAAAATACTTAAAAATGTATGCAATGCTCAAACCGTTATGCCAGATGGCTGTTGTGAAAACGGGCGAAGGGACTAGCGATGGGAGTTTCACTTCGTTGGTTAATATAATGCCCAAGCATGGCAGCGGCTATATCTCGCCAAGACAGCACGTCACGCTGATGCGTTTCAGGATGTGTGTTTGGCCTTTGGCGGTTAATCGACCGCACGGTAGGGAACGGTCTGCCCGGTGGTGCCGGGTCTGTGGGAACCGGCAAGCTGTTGAAGATGAATGTCATGTGCTGCTAGATTGTCCTGCGTATGCGATTATCCGTTTGAAGCTTTGGGACCTGGGGGTTACTCCTGGGGACCGCATGATCGAGATTATGGGCGTCAAGGATCAACGCGGGTTAGCGCGCGTCCTGGACGACATTAGAAGATGCAGGTTGCAGTACGTTGAAGATTAATCAATCTGTTATTGTTGGGTATTGGCATTTCTCTTTTTTGAGTTCCTGTTTCCAGTTTGGCGGTTCATGAGCCTTTTGGCTCGTCTGGACCGTACAAGCTTGAAGCTTGTAAACGTAAACGTAAACGTATAATGACTATGATAATTATACGCATCTGAATTCGAAGGCTTAACGATGAGTTAGAAGGCTTATGGATTAACTGGGAGCACAACACTGTCCGTCGAGCTTGATGGGATTAGTAAACCGTTGTACTACAGAACCCGTACATTGGACGCCCGCAATGTCCGGATATGGACTTTGCAATCATGCAAGAGAAGGATAGGTATATTAAGGTCAACTTTGGTCTGCATGTATTGGACTTCCACCTGTGTGACATCCTAGCCACAAATGCTTTTCTGATAGGGTATTACCATATAACAAGCAGCTGGATGGAAAAAAGATTGCGTTGCCATGTTATATAAATGACGGATCTTGCCAGCCCTTGCAGTCGGTGCCACCTGCAAAATGATAGGTCGAGTCACCAAGAATCTATGAGTCTTCTGGCTGAGCAAATCATGTATCTTGCTACAAATTAAAAGTTGCTCCTCAGGTGTTTGCACGTGCCCTTGCCGGCAGAGCGTTGAATGTGGAGCAACTTCAGGCCGTCGGCTGCGTTCTGGACATCCGCAGACGCTGCAACAACACACAACACGTTTAGCACTCAACATACTTGTTGGGCGGCTCTACGCTTCCAAACTTTCGCGGAGCCCTCTGTTGCCAGCGGCGTTGCAACGCCCAACGAACACCACCGTCTGCCCCACGTCGCTGCAGCGCTGAGCTGCGATTCCTATCAGGTTGAAAAAGATCTGAAAAATTCCGGGCGTGCGCTCACCCAGCACCGCAGCCGTCAGGTGCCCCTAGGAAGTTCACTGAGGAAGCGCAAAGGTCCTGGCGACACCCAGCCTTCCATCCTTCATCTCGACACCAGCACCCAAGCCTCCCGCAGCGATGCAGGCCTGCGCTCTCCATCACTGCAGCTCTATCCTACCCAGCAGCCAGGGGATTCACGCGCCCACGCCCCTCGAAGCAGCATCATCGCCGCTGCGCGACGCAAACCCTTATCAGTGGACGGCAGTTCTAGAGTCCACTCTGAGGACACGTGTCGCAGTCCCGCCAGTGATGCAGATCGCGGTGATGATGGGGCTATGCACTCCCTCCTAAGTGCTACTGCCACGCCTGGTGACGGTGCTACTGCCACCGTTGGCGGCCGCATGAGCAGGCACGGCGACGGCTATGGTCCGGGCGCTTTAGCAGGCCGACGGCTCCGGCGGCGGCAACCCCAGGAAACCGCCAAAAGCGACGGCGACGGCGACGGGGCTGACGGCAGTAGCAGTAGCAGCAGCAGCAACCGCAGTGATGGCGGTGGTAGTAGCAGAGGGAAGGGGATGGCGGGCCCTCAAACGCCTTTTTCCTCAGCCTTCGCCGGAGAGACCGGTAGTGGCAGTTTCCCCCCTGCAACCGCTGCCCCGCCACCACCGGTTGCGACCCCAGCACCGCCTCTGCCACACGGACAAGGACCGCCGTCAGCGCTACAGCCCTACAGCGCAGCGGCGGCGTCTGCATCAGCACCAGTAACGGCAACGGCGGCGGCGGCGGCGCCCCAGCGACTTCTGATACCCCGTCGGACGTCCCGGCTGTACGGCACTGCGCCGCCCGCGGCTCTTAGGCCGCCTGCTGCTGCTGCTGCTACTGCTACTGACGGGAGTAGACGCCGCATCCGCACCATCGCCGGCGCCGACACCCTCGGCGCTACCGCCGCCAGCGGCACCCCGGAGGGCAGAGACGGGGTGAGCTCGCGCGCTGAGCTTCCGCGACGGGGGCTGGGCCCACGACGGGAGTTTGGCGGCGGCGGCGGCGGCAGCGACGGCGGCAGCGGCGGCAGGGAGAGCAGTAGCACGGGCGGCGACGGCGATGTGGGTCGTCCTGGCGGTGTTGGCGCTGCTGGCGACGACGTCACGGTGCCGGGGGGGGCAGCTGCAAGGAGCCGCTTGCGACAACGGCCGTCCCCTGGTTCCAGCACGCGTCTTAGCAGCGCCGCCAGGGGGGCACGGGTCAGCACCGGCATCAGCACGACCAGTGGCGATGGTCCTGGTAGGGCCACCCCTACGGATGATGGCGTCGGAACTAGCTCACGGAGCGTCAGTTACAGCCACAGTAGCAGCAACACGGGCAGTGTGGGCAGTAGCAGTGGCCGCAGTAGCAGTAGCAGCGACAGCGTCAGCAGGATTCCAGGAGGCGGCGGCGGCAGTGCTCTCGGATCCGTCGCCGTGCGGCCCCCGTCGACGGGCGCTCCCGCCGGTGCTGTCCGTACATTTGCAGCGACGGCCGGTGGGAAGATAACGACGGCGGCGGCGGCGGCGGTAGCGGTGACGTCAGCCAGGAAGAGCAGTGGCAGAAAACTGCGATCCAGAAGCAGCCGCGGCGCCGCCGGGTCCCGCGGTACCGAGCAGCAACAGCATCAAGCGGGACGCCAGCAGCAGCAGCAGCAGCAGCAGCGGGAGGAGGAGGAGGAGCTGGGCTCTGAGTTGGTTTATCCCTGGAATCAAACATGTGCACGTGTCGATATGGACGCCACATACCCCGACCTGCATTCCTTCCACCTCGCTGTGATGTCGGATGCCGCCTCGCACTGG